TCCGTCGCGCTTTCGATTGGTGTTGGGGGTGGCTGGTTTTCTCCCTACCCCCCCCCCCCCCCCCCCCCCGTCCACCATCACCAAAGCCCTTCTCTTCACCCTACCCCCTTCCTGCTCGTCTACGACGCTCCACGCTCCGAGCCGAAAGACGAAAGAGTCTAAACCGGAATCTCGAGATGGATGGGTGATGACTCGTAGCCCATGTGACGAGACCGGGAAGGTGGAACGGACATGGACAACACCATGTGTGCGTCTCTCTGGGAGGCACCGAAAGAGGAAGACCGATAAACTCCGTCGACGAAGATGAGGACGACGCGTTCATCTCTGGGCAGAACCCATGATGCCTGACCCATGACCAGACGGCCCCCCTCCCGAGTCTCCAGTTCCAGGGAGAGGGCCCCCCGTCTTGCATCATGTCTTGCGGATACATCCACCTTCCTGCCTAACCGTGCCTGCGTACACAAAATTTCGGACCCCAAGGAAAGGACCAGGAGAATCAGACGAGCCCTTCAGATCCAGAGAGAAAAAAAAAAAAAGAGCAAGAAAAGAAAGTTTCGACAGACGCCGTTGGAAGCGGGTGGCGCCGCTGCCGCCTTGCGTCCGCGCCGCTCGCTGCCTGGGCCACGAAACGATACAGCCCCCCCTTCTTTCCCTTCCCTCCAGTGTCCAATCCCGATGGAGCCCTCGTTCTTTCTCCAGAGGATGGGTAGATTGTGACGTGTAGATTCTGCCCAACGTCCCTCTCTCTCACAGCTCGCGCGCGCGCGCAATGAATGATAATGACAAGGTGCGGCGGGTTATGGGGCAAGGGGGTGTGGTGGATTGGCACGAGTAGTAAGTGATGACAAGTGCGCAGATCAAAGCCCGACTCCATGTTGCGCATTTCCCCAACCGTGCTCTTCGAATCCACCTTGGGCCCCAGGAGCCAGGAGGACAAATTAGTACCCCCTCTCTCTCTCCGGCGTGGTCATCGAGATGTGATTGATATTGGAGGCGGCGCGGCGCGGCGTGGTGGCGGTGGTGGTGGCCTGGCATTGTCTGAGGCGAACCGCGTGTATGCACGTGGACAATGAATATCACACACGGGGCCGATGACTTGTATAGGATGAACATCATCACAGAGGACACGCTTAGCATGGGAGCCATGATCACGAGAGGGATGATGAACTAGCACACGTTTGCAACAAACCATTCTGGTCCATTTTTGGGTGTCTTTTGCGGAAAAAGCCTAAATCTCCTCTTCCTCGCGAGAAAATTCCAATCTGTGAGCGTCTCTTCTGTGTGTGTGTCTCTCTCTCTCTTCTCGTCTCCCCCAAGAAAACGGGGGGGCCAGGGGCTTTCCTCATACTACGTCTGCCTCCGTCACACGTGAACCTCCCGGTAAAAAAGTAAAGAAGAAACCAAATCACCGTCTCATCCTGACCCCTCCGTGTCGCATATAATACAAACCAGCTTTTTACAGAAACCACAGGGAAGCCTTTTTCTTCTTTTGGGGGCTTTTTTTGTTTTGTTCGGGGATGTTTTGAAAAGTGGTGCTTGAGGGCTTCCCATCCTCTAGCCCACCCTCGCGTAGTGCAATGTTTTGAAATTTGTTTTTGGGTGTTGTTGTCTCTGGAGTACTTCTATGATGCATATCGACCGTGTGTCCCTCCATGCGAAAGAAAGAGATCAGTGACAGCCCGCGTCGGTGATGAGATGCAATATTCCAATCGACCAGAACCAGTTAAGCCGTAGAGTCATTAGTCGGCGTATTAGGAAAGTGAAAGATGGTGGCGAACTGAAAGCGTGATGGAATACCCCATCAGGTCGAGCACTTTTAGTTTCCGGAGCCACCGGGCCCAGGGGTTCGCGGAGACCAGGAAGGTGACTGTGATACAATGTCAGCGTTCAACGCAATCACTTGTGGAACGAGGCACTTACGGTTGGGGAGTAGCTGGGGCTGGTCGGAGACTGCTGCGTCGCGGGAGTTCGCTGGAAGCTCGGGCTCGTGGGCGAGTAGGCATCCGGTGAAGTCGGCGACCACGTCGGCGAAGCAGGAGAGTACGACGGCGACGTGGGACCAGCCCCATGAAGGTTGGGAGATGCCGGGCTGTAGTTGGGACTGGCAGGCGAGTAGCTCGGTGATGTGGGTGAAGCATACTGCGCCGGGGAAGTTGGGGAGTAATGCCTGGGCGAAGACGGCGAAGCCGGCGAGTAGCTTGGGGATGTAGGGCTGTAGTTCGGGCTCGCAGGGCTCGTGGGCCGCAGCATGGGCGACGTCGGCGAGAAGGACGGCGACGAAGGACTGAACTGCGGCGAGGAGGCGTAGCGACCAGCAGCACCGTCCATAAGCGGTGAGGTGGGCGAGTAGCCCGCATTTGGTGACGACGGCGAGAACGAACCATAGCTGCTGAAGGGCGAGGTCGGGGACGTGCTGAAGGGACTTGTCGGTCGTCCAGGGCTCTGGGCTGAGTACGGGTTGACAGATCCGATGCCAAAGCCACCACCGCCGTACTCCGTGCCAAATCCAGTGGGAGAGTCCGAACCAGCACCAACGATGGGAGAGAAGTTACCAGCCGCAGGGGAGCTGAGCGACAAGTACCCAGAGTCCGCCATGGGAGATCCAGAGTCGTACGGTGTTGCAGCACCGCCGGCTTCGCCACCCTTGACGGGCATGCCAGGCATGAGACCCATGCGCGAGTTGTCACTGATGACAGTCTCAAGCATCTTCGGGTCCAGGAGGACCTCGAAGTGACCAGTTCCCATGGGCGCCATCTGACCGAGCATGACGTTTTCAGAAATACCACGGCAGTCATCAAGTTCACCAACAGCGGCAGCCTCGAGAAGAATTTCGACAGTCTCCTCGAACGAGCAACGCATCAGAGCACCAGTGTCTGCACGGTTGATACCGTGACGAGTGACGGCTGAGATGGTACCCCTGTAGGTCATGACATCGCAAAGAAGAGCAAGATGTCTGTGGTTGACGTAGGAACCGTCGAATGCCAAAACCTGTGTCAACTCTCTGACCAGAGCGGATCTTGCTGCTTCAATACCGAACACCTCGACCACTTGCCACAAGTGGTTAGTGTATGTGCGGGTAGAGTCGACACCGTCGACAGCCAAGACCTGGCGCAAAGCAGTTCCTGAGGTGTCAAGGTACCACTCGTTACAGCGCTCATCAGCCTTGGCAGCCAGCAGTGCTCCGTCGTCGGTCTCGATGAGTTTGTTCTCTTTGTTCAAGAAGGCTCTTTCGATACCCTTGACACCACGCAGAGAGAGGGTGTCGAGCAAGTGAGTCTCGAGTCTCTTGAGCATGACGTCGTCCTCCATCTTCTTCTCACCATCCTCGTCTTTATCGTCGTTACCAGCATGCATAGGACGGATGCGAATTACTTGTTCCTCGGCGTTGTTGTCACTGAAGATGACCGCGAGGTCGTTCGGGTACTCCTCCTTGATACGTCGCGCAACATCCTCGACAGTAAGTTCCTTGTCGAGCAACTTCTGTCGGTCCAGAGTAAGACGGAGCAGCCATCGGGACTGGTCTTCCGCTCTGTCGTGCGTTTCGTCGGGAATGAGGTAGTAGGACTCAACCATATCCAAATCATCAGGAATGTTAGTCGAGGTGATGATAGGGTCGTAGTAAATCTCCGTAACGGCCGTGACGGAGCGCAAGGTAGTGTGCTCGACAGTGCTTCGGAGGGCCTTGGCGGCTTCTTGACTGGCGTTTTCCTCGCCGCTCAAGTAGACAACCATTGAAGGTGTCTTGATGTTCTGGGCCAAGTTGAGAATTTCCTTCAGACGGGGTACACCCAAAGTGACGTTCTTGGAAGAGACACCGGCGAAATGGAAGGTGTTCAGCGTCATCTGTGTTGCGGGCTCACCGATGGACTGCGCTGCAATGACACCGACCATTTCACCAGGGCTGACGAAGGCTCGGTCCCAGCGGGCTTCCAATTCTCCCAATACGTGCTCAAAGGCCATCTTGTTCAAGCGCTGCTGGCAAGCGATACGCTTAAAGGCCAGTCTTGAGCGGATCTGGGCCTTGAAGAGGATAGTGGCATTACGGTCGGCTTCCTTGGAGATGTCGTCGTTACCACGAACGATGGTCATCCTGTTGAGCATTGCCTGCACAGCAGGAATGACATCTTGAGGCCTCAAGTCACTTCTCTGGAAGTCTTCGACAGCGAACAGCTTCTTCGAAGTTTCCATCAGACGGACGATGTTGAGAGGCAGTTGCATGGACTCGTCATCCTTCCTCTTGAAGTTGATTTGACGGACTTGTTTGCGATCAGCAAGCAGAGCCTCGTACTCCTCATCCAAAAGTTGCTGGACAGCCGGGTCACCAGAAATCTCGTTGCCGTACTCAAGCCAGTCCAATTCCTCTGGTCTAGTCTCGTCCATGACGTCCAGACGGAAGCGGTTGGCAAACGCCTTGTTGGACATGTTGAGGTGGTCCATTCGCTGCTTCTCGATGTAGATGGCATCGAGACCATCCTCACCGTACAGGAATTGAAGAACATCGCCCAGGGAGTTTCTGACGGTACCGTCATACTTGGCGCTGACGTCTTCAAGGGCCTTGACTAGACGACGTTGAATGTAACCAGTTTCGGCAGTCTTGACAGCGGTATCAATGAGACCTTCTCGACCAGCCATGGCGTGGAAGAAGAATTCGCTTGGCGTGAGACCACGAAGGTAAGAGTTCTCGACGAAACCACGAGCCTCAGGCGAGTAGTCGTCCTTGGTGAAGTGGGGGAGCGTTCGGTACTTGAAGCCGAAAGGAATACGCTTACCCTCGACAATCTGCTGTCCGACAAGTGCAGTCATCTGGGAAATGTTGATGGAAGAACCCTTGGAACCAGAAGAGGCCATGGTGACGGCGTTGTTCAAATCCTTCAAACTCTTCTGCGTAGTGGTACCAGCCTTGTCACGAGCCGTGTTCAGGGCCTTAGAGACCTTGCTCTCGAAGGTCTCACGAATGTTCATACCGGGCAGAGGCTCAAGCTCGTTGGCAGTAGCTTGTTGCGTGAAGGCCTCGACCTCGGCCTTGTGCTCATCGATGTGGACCTGAACCTTCTCAATGGTCAGCTTATCGGGAATCGTGTCACCGATACCGATGCTGAAACCGTTGTGGAGAAGCCAGTAGTTGACGACTTGTTGTACCCCGTTAAGGAACTTCATGGACGCCTCAGGACCGTGCTCGTTGTAGACGATGTGAACGATACCACCACTAGCGGCACCGATGTTCTTCTTCGACAGCAGGCCGTACAGCAGCTCACCGGACTGGATAAGAAGACCCTCGTCCTTAAGCGGGTTGTCTTCCTTCGTATCCGGGGCATTGTGCAAGCTGACGATGTTGGGAATCGCCATGCTCATGATCTGCTTACCCGTCCATCTTGGCCTGGGGCGGATGATTGCTGGCGGAGGGATGACACCATCCCAGTTGGGCACCCAGAGCATGATGTTCATGACCGCCTCCTTGGTGAGGAAGACGTCACGACGGCAAAGCTTGTAAGCGCCAGCAAGTGTATCCTGAACGATACCCATGAGGGGTCCGTTTCTTTGCGGAGACACAATGTTGATCGGAACCAAGCAAAGCTCCTTGACTTCAGCTCTCGTCTCTTCACTTTGAGGGACGTGAAGGTTCATTTCGTCACCGTCGAAATCAGCGTTGTAAGGCGAGGTGACGGACAAGTTGAGGCGGAAAGTGGAGTAAGGCATGACGCGAACTCTGTGACCCATCATAGACTCCTTGTGCAGCGAAGGCTGACGGTTGAAGATGATATAGTCGCCAGTGATCAAGTGACGTTCGACCTTCCAGCCGTACTCAAGTGAAATCTGTCCGGCTCGGCGGTGGTGGCGGAGATCAATTCTTGTACCGTCTGAGCGGATGACGTACTTGGCACCGGGATGCTCGTTGGGACCGTTTTGGACCAACTCGTGAAGCCTGCCGATGTTGTAAGGAGTGACGGTCTCGGGATACGTCAGAGTCCTTGCGATACTTCGCGGCACACCGACCTCGTCGAGAGACAGGTTGGCATCACCAGTGATGACAGTACGTGCTGAAAAGTCGACACGCTTACCCATCAAGTTTCCACGGAGACGACCTTCCTTACCCTTGAGGCGGGCTCGGATAGCCTTCACTGGACGACCACTCTTTTGGAGCGCGCGTGGTTGACCAGCAATGTCGTTATCCATGTAGGTAGCGACATGGTATTGAAGAAGCTGCTCAAAATCTTGGGCGATATGAGCGGGAGAGCCTTCGCGGATGGCTTGCTTGACGTTGCTGTTGGCCCGGATGATATCACCCAGCTTGTACGTCAAATCATCTTCGTTTCTGAGACCCTGACCGGTGCCGTCCATGGAAATACTGGGACGGACAGGCGGAGGCGGAACAGGAAGGACTGTGACAATCATCCACTCCGGGCGGGCGTACTCCAGGTTAAGACCCATGTCTCTCAGGTCGTCATCGCTGACACGGCGCAGGATGTTATGGGCCATCTCGGGCGTGATTTGAGGCTCCTCCTTCTTCTTGACGCCATCCTCACCGGAGGACTCGTACTTCGCAATCAGTTGCAAGGCCTTGTGCCGTACTCTGGGCTGGATGTTGCCACATCCGCCGTGGTTGACTGGGGCCTGCTTCATGCCCAGGCTGTACTCTCCGTCGTCGTTCTTGACTTCCTTGGTCTCGTTTTCGCAACGGGTCTTCTTTTTGCAGATGTTCCAGACGCGGTTGAAGCGAACCTTCGGGTCTCTCGTGTTGACAGCTTGGAGAAATTCAGGGTCGCTCTGAAGTAGCCAGGTTAGCACAATCGAGTCAAGGCGGCTGTCAAACAACGTAGAGCAGACTAACTCTGTCGGCCAAAACCTTGCTGCAATTATGGCAGACGATTTCCAACACCTTCTTGACCTTCTTGATGAAACCAGGGTGGTAGACGGGCTTTGCCAGCTCAATGTGGCCGAAGTGACCAGGACATTCACCCATCGCTTGCGTGCAGGTCTTGCACTTGAACTGACGGTCGATGGACCCCAGAAGGGGATCGTTCAATCCGCCGTCACGCGGCTTCGTGCGCGTCTCATCCATAGTCTCGGGGTAGAGAACATGGCAGACACTCATGTTCTTAATCTCCTCCGGGGCCATGAGACCGAACTGAATCTCCTCCACCGTCTTGATGGGCGCACTCGAGTGCGTGAAGTATAGGTTCGCCATGATGACTGATTTTTCGTCGCGTTCGGGAAGGAAGGTATCGAATGGTAATCGGGAAGTCTGAAGGCGAAAAAGGCGACTGCCGCAGATAAGTCGTTACGCGATCCGGGAGCGTCGCAAAACAGGCGCAAGATGTCGAAAAAGCAAGAATCTATCGCGCGAAACGCTTTTCGCGATGCAAAAGGTCGAGAAAGGTCGTTCTATGATGGCGCTCTTGACCACGCCAGTCCCCGGCCAGCGGCCCAGGAGAAGGTTCCACTGAGCCTCCCGATCGCCACCTCCGGAGCGTGAATGAATCGAAAAATCGCGTTTTTTGCGTCGGTCGTCGAGTCGGAAATGAGCGTACTTTCAGTAGGGCGCGATTCCGACGCGCGTGTGGTGATGTTGATGCGTTGGTTCGGCGTAGGTGTAGATGTGAAGCCGTGGAGGCGAAAGTGAGGAGCGAGGTCAGAAACAAATCTTGCCTTGAGCGGCTGGCGCAGCCTGCCAGAAGACGCTAGCCCGGATTAGGCAATCACCCTCCTTTACGGTCGTTCCTTCCTCTGGCTGGGGACGCGTGCCTAAGGAGGTCTTCAGTACCCACCGAGTACCTGAAACGCACCAATCTTTGGCCAGCAAGTAGGTAGCTGTACTTGAACCCAGCAGACCGACTCCTTGGTTGGCGGGCGCGCGCCGCTGTCTTTTGCTTGAGCCTGTCCGATGAGTCAAAAGTTGTACTATGGATTCTTTCACTGATTCGACCTCGAAGATGGAGACGATAGTCGAGGACAATCGACGCATTCAAGATTTGTCTTCACAGCTTGGCTCGACCTCGTTTCCTCTCACTTGCTCTGGTGGGGACATTATTTGCATTATTAATAAGCAGCTTTTGAAGCTGGATTCTTTCGCATCACGACGAGCACCTCGTCGCGCTAAACTTAACAGGGGTCTGAACGCCAACCGAAGCTCGTCCCATACCTACGCGATCCAACGCCATGTCACGCGTCTACCTTTCTTCATCCTGTTCAAAGCTTGACTGACACTAGATCGTGCCTCCTTGCTGCTCCCTATAAACCCTATCGATCACCGTCTCCTTCCCCTGGAAGATTTCGTTGCGCCCTTCCGTGACGGGATCTTCTCCTCGATCACCTCGCTATCCGGTATCTCTCCGTCCGCACCTGGACTCCTTCTCCTCATGGTTCCGGTAGATACTGCGATAAACTCCTCCTCACTGTCGCTCTCCCCGAGGTCGAAGAGAATTGGCATGCGAAACGCTTCGTTGCCGCCGTTGTTCCCGTGGAGGAAATTGGAGCTGACGACATCAACGTCCTCGTCCTCGGCGTCCAGCCGTCGCTTCTGTAGCTCCTCCTGACCATAGATGTCGAACTCGTCTTCCATCTCCTCGTACTCTTGGTTCTCCTCTACCTGCGCAAAGTCCGGAGCAAGGCGAGACCATTTCTGTTCTGGAATAACGGACCAGATGTATATCCTTCCCGTCTCGAGGCCGCATGTGGCGATGAACGGCCTGTCTGGGTGCCATTCCACGACACCTTGCTCCTCTTTGGGTCCGTCGAGTATCCGAATCAGTCCCGTGCTTCCGATGCCCCTATCCCAGACGTATATTTCGTGGTTGTTGTAGGTGGATGCCGCAACGTACTCGGAGGCCGAGCTGAAGGTGACGTGATTCCAAGACAGCCTGTTGACTTGATCTGAGAATGTGTGTTCCTTCGTAAAGTGTACCGTATCGAGATCGAGATCCTCGGCCGCGAGGTTCGGAATGTGGAAGGTCCTGACGATACGATCTTGCGCGTTGATCAGAAGCAACCGACCGGAGTTGTTCAGCCGCAGCGTTGTTATCACACCGCTGCATGGTTTCTCCGAGTATATTGTCTTCCTGGTCTTCACGTCAATGACGTTCACCCACCCCTTGTTGGTTCCCGCCAGGATATGCTCTCCCGTAGATGTGAATATCGTGACAGTCGTCATTTGCTTCGCGTCTTCCTTCAACTGCTTCTCCGTCCGTTCCCCGTCTGCATGTTTCGGCGCCGACGGAAGGGGGTATTTGACGTCGTTAACGTCCGAGAGGTCGACGAGAATCGGTTGTTCTTCGAATATGGAGGCCACAAACTGGTGACTTGGAGTGTCAGCCGAGCTCTGTTCGGTTCAAGATTTGCCAGACTCACTGGTTGGATGGATTGAGCTCCGCGATGTACGCCGGAGCTCGGAAGCGCACCTCGCGGTAGCGCTTGCCATCTTTCAGATCCCAGAGGATTGCCCTCCATCCTTGACACGCCGAAAGCAGGTAGCGGCCGCATCTTGACCAGCTGAGGGATGTGATACTTCTGTTGTGGCCGCGCATCTTACGCGCGACGCCCATTGTCTCAATATCCCAAATCACCACGGTTCCATCGACCCTGCCGGAAGCCAGGAGATCGCCTGTTCGGTTGAAGCGCAAGCATGTTGAGTGGCCGGACCGGATCGTATTTGTATTGTTGATAGCGTTGATGGCCTCGACAGCGGCGATGGCCTCATTTTCCTCGTTGCTGAGTAGGAAGTTCATGTCGGCAGATATCGGTCAAGTCCCGCAACGTCTGGGACACAGCAACACCACTCGAATCTGCGTGGTTTTCGCTTTGGGTGATAGGGAAGGAAGCTTGGGAGCTCCCAGGTCGCAAAATATTGTTTAGCCGTGCGCATGCGATTGCCTTTGGTTCATCGCGCCTGCAAGGCTGACAGGTGAGATTACAGGGATCAGGCCCGCACTTTTAGGTGCCCTGAAGCAGCTTTTCAGCGACCGACCCCACTGAAGGAATGACAACCCCTCCCCCACCATTCCCGCCTTACAGATGATCTCTACATGGGCTTCAATCCAACGCGTTGTTCACGGTTGAGGCTTGCTACACAAGGCCGACAACGTGATATTCCTACTAGTATTACAGAGATTGTATCTTCTTTGGTCAGGCCTTCTGTTCTCACCACCCCGCGAGCATTCCACCTGCAAACTAGAGTACGAGGACCTGAGCGCTCAATCATGGCGAATTCGAAGTATGCTCTGCCCTTCTTGTGACCAAAACTACGTTTCTAAGTGAGATTTCAAGATTCGAATACGTCAAGGCCTTTGAACAGCCAGACACCCTCTTGCCGAACACATGGATCGTGGTTCGCATCGACGGCAGAGGCTTTACGAAGTAGGTAAGAGACCATCGGCTGAATATCTGAACTTGCCTAAACAAATTTCAGGATGTGCGCAAAGTACTCCTTCGAGAAGCCGAATGATAAGAGAGCCCTTGATTTGATGAACGCCGCCGCCCGGGTGGTGGTCACTGAGCTTCCAGACATTACCATTGCTTATGGCGTTAGCGATGAGTACAGTTTTGTCTTCCACAAATCGTGTACGTTGTTTGAGAGAAGAGCCAGGTATGTAACCTCATGACAAGACGGCGGATCAAAAGCTCACGTAGTCTCAGTAAGCTCGTTAGTACGGTGGTATCAACATTCACAGCAAACTACGTTTACCTGTGGTCACAACATTTCCCTGATTCCCCCCTCTCGCCGCCTCTCCCCAGCTTCGACGGTAGGGCAGTATGCTACCCCAGCGTCTCAAACCTGAGGGACTACATGAGCTGGCGTCAAGTTGACTGTGAGTGGTTCTTGTCACCTTACCAGTGCTCTTACTGAATTACAAAGGTCACATCAACAACCTTTACAACACGACCTTCTGGTCCCTCATTCAGCTAGGAGGTCTCGACAACAAAGCAGCAGAGCAACTCCTCGCCGTAAGCTTCTAGCCCGAGAGGCTTACCTTTTAAAAACACCCAAGTCTCTAACCGTTCCATCAGGGCACCGTTTCCGGCGACAAAAACGAGATCCTCTTCTCCAAATTCAAAATCAACTACAACAACGAGCCCGAGATCTACAAGAAAGGCAGCGTCGTCTTCCGCGACTACGAGCTCGTCGAGCCCGGAACCCACAACACCGCCGAAGCCGCAGACGCCCTCGCGGAGCCGCTCCAGCAGAGCAAGTCGCAGGCCGAGAAGGACAAGAAGAAGCGCGGCAAGGCGCGCGTCGTGATCGAGCACCTAGACATCATCAAGGACGACTTCTGGGACAGGAGGCCCTGGTTGCTGTCCAACAAGCCGGGCAAGACTCCCAAGGAACCTTGAATCGCGGTGTAAATGCCCTATTGTTGGTGGCTGGCCGGTGGTCACCGGACCTTTGTCAAGAAGATGCACTGGCTGTGTTCCTTTCGAGACGAAGAGACTTACGGGATACGGCGACGGCAAATACGAGACGACGGAAGAAACGGGGACAGATACATATGGAGACGGAGTTCAAAATGCCGAATGCTTCAAATTTCCATTCATTGATTGAAACATGACCATGCCATTATGCTGATGGGTATGAGGGTTTTGCACCTCAAATCTACGCCGCGCGTGCTCTATGTAATGCGCCCTTGGTATCTTCGTCTCGGTGGGCTGGCGCGAGACAGTACTTTTAATCATCCCCTGCCTTGTCTTCGCCGATTTTTAAAACTCCGTATCGCTACAGCCTTAATGACTTTGTGGAGAGTGTTGACCGTGTCGTGAGTTTGACGGAGGCCCAGCTGCTCACAGGCAATCTCCGATCTCCTTCAACCTCGAGCAGACCCTCATTTCCCCTTCCTTGCTTCCCTCTTCGCCTTCTTCGCCTCTCTCCTGGCCCTCCTCTCTTCCTTCGACTCTTCCCTCTTCTCCCCCTTATCGGCCTTCTCGGCCTTCTTCGCCTTCTTCACAGCACGTTCCCTCCTTCTCGTCTCCCTCGCCTCTTTCCTCGCCCTCCTAGCCGCCCTCCTCGCCCGCCTCTCTTCCTTCGTCTCTCCCCTCTCCTTCTCAATCCTCACCCCGCCCTCGCTCTCGTCCCCGGTCTCCTCGCTCTCCGGCGTCGACGCCCCGCTCTCCTCCGTCCTCGCCTCCTCCTTCAGCCCGATCGTCCCGTCCAGGAAGCCCCCCCGCACGAAGCTCGCGTACAGCATCCACTTGCCGCCCGACACCTTCTCGACCTGGTTCAGCCGGCCCTGCGTGACCGTCTGCGTGACCCGCCCCTGCTTCGACGTGTCCAGCCCCTGCAGCTGCTCGTCGAAGGCGTTCATCCACCACGTGTCGCTCGTGAAGTGCGCCTTCTGCCCGAGGCCCTTGGTGTTGTCTTTGCGGTTGAGGAGGAGGGGCTTCGCGAGCCCGATCGCGTCGTCCGTCGCGTGGAGGGAGTGGCCTTTGCCGCGCCACCCTTGCGACGAGAGGAGGGCGTGCGCATCCATGGTCGCTCGCTTGGCTTCGATCGATGTTTGATTGTGTGGTATTTTCGAAGAAGGGATATTTGTTTTTTCTTTATTTATCGAGGTTCGTTATTGTGTCATAAGCGGCGGGTGGGAATGCGCATCGTCGAGGTGAAGCTTGGGTTTTGGCAGCTGTAGGGAGGGAGATTCAGCGACGAGCGTTTGGAGATGCGGTGGTCGGTGTACTGGAATTTTTCTTTTCTGCCGTGCTTATCTTATCTCAGCTGCAGCTTCCCAGCCAAACCCCACCAATTGCATGGACCCCGGTCCACGTGTCTCAAGGTCCCTTGAGCTTAAGATTTTGCGAGCTTCACCCAGACAACGAGCGCGCAACCTGAGGACTTTATTCCTGCCTTGGTTGGGGAGCGGTGTGCAAAGATTGCTTGATGAGGGATTCCAGAGCTGATTCCAACGTTGTAGGCGCGTCAGTCAATATTGGGCCGGTTTTTAGCTGAACGTATCTAAAAATATGCACAGGAAGATGATACAGCCAATGCTAGTGAAAATTAGTTTGAACGTTTCTTCGTTGATGTGAGGTATCTGAACTAAACACTTTTGTAGCTCTCCCCTCTATGATTGTACAAGCAAGCAGATGCCCCAATTTTTGATGTCCCGTATGCATCCAGAAAACAATATTTACGCCTTAACCTTCTTGGCAGCAGGCTCCGCTGCGGCCTCCTCCAACGCACGCTTCTCAGGCTCGCCAGCAAGCTCTCTCTCCGCCTTCTCGAACTTGGCCTGCTCCTCGGCAGTCATGTTGGGCAGAAGGGGCTTCTCCTCATCCGAGTTGAGGTTCAGGTGGAAAGTACGGATGATCGAGTCGGCATCGTCAATGGCAATAGGCCTGACGTCTGCGAGCGCCTTGATCTTCTGAGTGACAACCTTGACCTGAGCGTCGGTCATGGTGAGGCCGAGTTGCTCAACACGGCTCTTAATTGCGTTCCATCCGGTCAATCTTGAGGCGAAGTGGACGTATCTGCTCATACCGAAGTCGGCAGGGTTGATAATTTCTATCGAATCATTAGCTTGGGCGCATGTCAATTCCGACTGACAATTGCTTACCGTATGTGCTGGGGTTGTTGAGGATGGCCTTGGCGTGGATACCAGCCTTGTGGGTGAAGGCGCAGAAGCCAGTGATGTAGTTGTTGAAGGGAATGTTGATCTCGACGGACTCGGCGACGAGGTCCTCAAGCTCCTTGAGCTTGTGGAGCTTGTACTTGGACTTGGTGTACTCGGGGGCGGCGACGATCATGCGAGCCATCAGACCACCCAGAGGGGTGATACCGTTGCGCTCACCGATACCGATGACGGAGGTGTCGACTGTAGCAAGAGATCAGTAAATGTTTTCTCACAGAGTTGCTGGATCAGTACTCACTGTGAGTGGCACCGGCCTCAAGAGCGCAGTAGGCGTTGGCGATGGCGCATCCAGTGTCGTTGTGGAACTAAATCACGCGCGTTAGTGCCCGTGTCTCAAGTTGTCGCGGCAAACAGCCACTTACGTGCGTCTCGATGTCGCAGCTGACGACACCTCTCAGAGTGCGGACAAGGTCGTAAACTTGTCTGGGGCTGGCGCAACCGACCGTGTCGGCAATACCGACTCTGTGAACACCAACCTTGTCGACGGCGCTGTAGACGGAGAGCAGATCGACGAGGTCGGAGCGGAAGGAGTCCTCGGAGGAGAAGCGGATCTCGAGACCCTTGGACTTGACGAACTGGATGACCTCAATGGCAGTCTGGAGACGAAGAGGATTAGATCATGATCGTGTTTGGCTCGACAACCAGGGAGAACGTACGTTGATGATGTAAGTCATGTCCTTGCCGTGGGAGTGCTCGCGCAGGTAAGAAGAGGTACCAATGACGACGTCGACACCGTCAACACCAGTCTCGACAGCAAGACGGGCATCGTCCATCTGCTCTTATTAGCCTTCAGGTGTACTTTGGCGCGTGGAAAAACGGTGCTCCTTACGTGGCAGCGGACGTGAGTCAGAATCTTGGCCTTGAGGCCGAGCTTGCAAATGGCCTCGCAGTCCTTGCGCGACTGCTCGGAAGCAGCAGGCGAGGTGAGCTCAATGTAGTCGACGCCGAAGTCATCGAGAGCCTTGGCGATCTTGATCTTGGTCTCGGTGTCGAAGAAGGCGTTGGCGAACTGCTCACCCTCTCTCAGGGTGGACTCGACTGTTGCGTCACTGGTCAATGTCTCTGACACAAACCCGGGCTGCACAATGGGCAGAACATACTAATCTTGTAGCGGTCGACGTTGCTGAGGAAGTCGCCTACGGGCTGGTACGGGTTGCTGTGCTTCTGCTTGGTCTGCGCGATCGAGAGTCAGAATAGAGCGTCATGGTGAGAGCGTTCTTCGGGGATTCCTCACGGGAATGGCAGTGTAGCCGGGATGGTCTGGATGCGAAAAGAGTCAGTCATTGTCGGGACGGCGTCGCGCAGCATCATGCAATACGCACCAGCCTTGTCAGTGGCAGCGCCATTGGTGCCGTTCGAGTGACCATTGGTGCCATTGGAGTGGCCGTTGGCCGGGGCGTCAGGAGTAGGGCACATTTTGTATGATCATATACCGGTCGTCGAGATCTGGAGGTGGTGAATTGAGTTCGAGAAAGGGCAGGTTCCCGAGGTTTGGATGACGACGGGCTTTATACAAGAAAATCAGGAAAGCTTGTTGAGTCACAGGAGAAGATTGGTAACTAGGAAGAGAGCAGCAGAGGCTACCTATATGCAGAGGAAAATTTATGCTGGGAAGCCAAAAAGCAGGCCGACAGAGGCGAGGCGGAACGTAACAAGGTGTGGATTGGGCGGGATGGCCAGTGATGACCGAGTACGGCGTTCGCTGACGGTAGGCTCAGCCAGTCAGTGTGCGAAAAAAGAATTTTTTCCACTCTTTGGCCCCGCTCCAGACACATCCCCGACTGCACCGCGGTGCCATTGACTCTCAATTAACAAATTTCAGGGCCGGCCGGTCCTTACGTCGCTCCTGTCTGTACCCCGCTAGATGCCACCTGAAATGGGCCGCTTTCCGGGCTCGTCATTGGCGGAAGGGACCCCCACACGTCGCGCCGGCCAATCAACCCCCCGTTATCGGAAGATCGATCTCCCACTCTGCTCTCACGCTAGCCTTGAAGCGGTAACACCACATGCTGCAGCTTGCCCGGATTCTGGCCCGTGCCCGGGCAGTTTGCTGCTGCTGCTTCTGCCGCCTGCGCTGTTTGCTGCTGTTTGCCGCATCGCGAGAGACACCGCCTTTCCTTCATCGCCTCGTTCGTGCATGACCGTCGTCGATTGTTCGACATAGACTTGACCGCCGAGAGGGCCTGGGCAGCCCCCCGACGACAAGGGTTCTTGCAGAAGTAGGGTCAACTAGAGGCGCGCCTTTCAACTCCTGCAGCAGCGGGGACCACAGGGACGTTGCATGCCGGACGGAAACTCGAATCCGACATTGGTCAATTGACTCATCCCGTCCGCGAACATGGAGGGCGGTCCGACAAATTAGAGTCTGGATTCTCGAGCAAGCTGACCCGGCTCTCTGGTCCAAAGCGGTAGTTTGGATTCTTCAGTTCATCAGACGGCGTTGGGAGTCGATGGCCTGGAAGCCACGAATGAGCATTTGTAGCGCATGCTCATACAGCGAACAACTCGCATCTGTGCCAACCAGCTCGCACATATTAGACATCAGATCAACTGCCGCCTGCCCGGCCGGTACTAGCAATGTAACCAGCCGCGCTTAAATCAACTCCCAGCCTAGCACATTAGCAGACGCGCTGAGAAGAGAGCTTGCCCTCGTGCCCACCGGTTGCTAAACGGGGTAAGCTCGTATCTAAGACACAATGATGCGGTGTCTGGCGAATGGACTGCTGGGCGGAAAGAGTCCACCGAACCCCCCGAATTACCGTTGCAAGACATTGAGCTGCTCGTCGGATCCTCCGACGGCACCCCGGCCGCATTGCCGACGTCCTCCAAGACACCACTTGCATGCCGGTTACTGGGGTAAACGCTGCTCCAATTTTCCCACCGCGACCCACACTTGAATTACGGAACCCAAGACGACGTCATGCAAGTATGACTACAACGTAAAGCGTCTCCTGTGAAACTCGCAGAAGGGTACGAGACTATGAGTTGGTGAAGCTGCGTTATGGAGATGATCGGTCGAGAAACTAACCGTACGGAAGTTACCGTATATCTTTCCCTCAGTACAGGCAGTGAGATTGACTCACTCCATTGTTGTTATGGTGCTTCTTTTGTGGACTCGCGACTACCACATAATTGTACTGAGGGTGAGTACTACTCTCGCCCAGATCCCGCAGCCTCGTACGTCAATTTGGGTTGGAAAAGCATATGCCCAAGTATGGAATGACCGTGGCTTGCTGGAGAGGACGCACCGGTGATGGTACATTGATTATTTACACATCTGTCTTTGAATCTACAACTTCAACCCTGCGGCGATACCCTGGATGCCACAACGCCATTCCATGCTCAAATCCGATTGAGTAACCAGGTGAAGAAGACGCGATGATAGCTCGCGGAAGAAATAGAAACCACACAGTATAACAACATGTCCGCCATAACGTCTCCCAGACCCATTCACCGAAAGCAGCCAAATAAGTTCTTGCTCATTTTGGGGCATCTTAGTGGAGTCTAACGCCGAGCCCGAGCTGAGCATGCCACATCGCCGGTTCACCGCCCAGGCATTGGGCCATGTAATCATGAGTTCCAAGAACCACGGCTGCTTCAGCCCCAAGGAAGCTCAAACCGCGCACACCCCCGAGACGTCTCGATTCCTGGATAGATCTCTGAAGTCGTGTGACTTGCGAGTTATCGAGGATCCGGTAGAGAAATGCCTGATGTTCGCTGTCCTGGGGAGGCCGTGGATCAGACGGCCTAGATCTTGATACTTTTGCTTCTTGCTCAAATCGAGGCGGGTACTGCTGGCGGTACCGCTCTTGCTCCACGCGAGGAGGAATCAGGCCTGGAAGAGGGTTGAGCAGCGTCGCTACTAGCTGCTTAGCTAGCAGCTGTGACTGCTGAGGGCTCACAAGAATCTGGCCCCCCATTCCGAATCGTATCAGTTCATCAAGCTGCCGTTCGATAAGAAACAAGGCGTGATGAACTAGCATCGGCCCCGGAGCTGCGTAATTTATGCCCGTTTGTTGCTGGTGCTTTGGGACTGGCACCGGTAAAGTCGGAGCTGATGGCGTCGAAGGATTTCGTTCATCCAAGGATGGGTATCGCGTAAGGCGTCCCTCACTGTTTTGGTATACTGATGGGCGTCGATCAAGACAATACATCAGGAACACCTCGTGAAGCCTTCTGAGTTCAGCTTGATCCCAAACATTCTGGAGGGTCAAGGGAGGGCAACCTACAGTCATGGCAGAAGCTCTGCTATTGACCTGGTTACCTTCTCCAATCGATGAACCTGATCCGGAAGCACTTGAACTGAATGATCGATACGGAGGAGACATGGCAGCTTCGTCGGTTTCGATGCGAGACTCCTAGTTTCTCACAACGTGGGCAAGCACCGTCATCTGCTCAACTTCGTAGTCTTCACCAGTAGGTAGCTTTTGGCCCTTAGGCAACGCAGCAGCGACGTGTACCTCAATGGTATTAACGATACCGGCCTGGAGCTGGGCTTCGAAGACCTTGGCGCCAAGCGGAACAACCTGGTTGTGGCCGACATGGACCGGAAGGATGGGATGTTTGTTGATGATTACCCAAAGCCTCCACTGGCGTCCCTCTTTCTCAAGGAAGGCGGGCAAAGTAGGAATGATCTGAATCCTTAACTGATTGGCAGGCATGTGGACCGTCACGGATTGCTGTGCCTCCTTCTCCATGGGAGTGACGGTGATTTCAAACCGGCGCTCGACGTTGATCATGGGATGAGTCTGGACCTTCAAACTGCTTATCAAGGCATCGGCAGCTCCTGCGTCTCAATTAGCATTGTGATCGATGTCTCCTCCAGCAATACGTACCTTTGCCTGGGGCACGGAGCCTCTGATCCCAGACAGGCTTAGGAGGCTGCTCGATGCCATTCGTCTGCTGCGGAACACCAATAGGCTGGAATGTTGCATTGGAAAGGCCTGTAGCTTGACTGGCGACGGGAGGGGGGAAAGCCGATGGTGTGTTTGCCTGACCAGGTGTCACAGCAGGAGAGGGACGCATAGCATCTTCTCTCTTGATGTTATTGGCAGCCGAAGGACTCGGAGATGCCGCGGAGGTGCTCCGGATTCTATCCATTGCAGCCGGCATGGCAGGAGTGACAATTTGACGGGCATTGCCGTTGGGGCCGACCTGGTCGCTTGCCTGGGAACCTGCGGAGTGGGCTACCAGAGGCGCAGGCGAATCTGCCGAATCACTCTTGCCCCCCACGTGAATAGTGATCTTCTTAGAGGTTGGGGGCTGCTCAGAAGAAGGCTGCTGGACTTTGAGCTTGATCTTGGGTTGTGCCGGCTCAGAAACGACCGCCTTAGCCTGACGCAGCTCGTCCATGAAAAATTCCTGAAATTGTGTTAGCTCTGAGGCCCGCGATTATTGTGAGGTGCGTGGATATATACCTTCAATTCCTGGGCAAGCTCGTAGATCTCACTTCCCTCTTCATTGTAGAAGCAAGCGTTCTGCCACAACAAACTAGCGCTCTCCTCAAAGGCAGCCCAGTTCTTAAACTCGCTAGTGCCAGTTGCCTCATTGCGACCCTTGACGCCTTTTACTGATTTCTGAAGCTTCTTGATGGAAATGGGCTCTTTGATCACCCGGTAGTAATCTTTGAGGGCGCGAGGAGGGAGATTGACAAAAGGCTCGAAGTATGGCTCTTGACCGCTATGAATGTGGTTAGCATTGGTGCGAACGGTTGTTTGAATAGCTTACTCCTCCTCGCGCTTCCGAAGCATTTCTTCGACAATCTTTTCCTGGGCAGCCTGGAAACTGAGGCCCTTGTATGGGACGTCCTCATACTCGGCATCCGGGCGACTGGGCGTAGCAGTCCGGCCCTTGGATTTGCGCGGCGAGGCACCCTTGGGAGGTCTGCCCGGACCTCTGCGACGAAAGATGACAGTTGGGGGCTTGGAGGACTGGCTGGCCTCGTCGTCATCGTCATCTCCCTCTGCATCATCATCCTCTTCTTCTTCGTCTTCTGCGTCCTCATCTTCATCTGCCTCGGCGTCCTCTTCTTCCTCATCTTCCTCGTCAGCATCTTGCTGCTCGGGTTCGGGCTTGGCGGCGCCTTGAGACTTGCGACGGCCAGTCTTGCCAGGGATCGCATCATCCTCGTCGTCCGTCTCAGCCTCATCGACAAAGCTGCCATCGTCAGGCAGAGCAGTCGGGACTGCGCTGTATCCGCCTTTATTGTACGCCGGGTTTGTCTTGGTCATGAAATTACTCAAGGCTTTCCGGACTCTCTCGGCATCTTCGAAAATCTGAGTGTGGCGAGGGTAGAATTCCTTCGCATTGGTGACCATGCGCTTGAAGTAGCTTTCGAGGTCGGTGAGAGTGGCAAAGTCTCCCTTGACAAGCTTTCGCTCGATCATCGACAACGAGATGGGCATGCGCGTTTTCTTGTAATATTCGGGATTCGCCTCCTTTGGGAGCAGCTTCTCAAAACAACCTGCCACCTTTCGGCCACTAGGTACAGTAAAGGTCAGCATCGATGAATGACAGGAGAAATATGCCAACAGCCTTTCCAACACCATGGAAAGCCATTAGCCAACTGCGACGGGCCGCTATTGACAGTCTTCCCAGTATGCACGCAGAAATGGAAGTAGGGGGTAAACTCACTTCTTGTCTGCGGTCCGACGAATCTGCTCGAGGAAGAAAAGGCCATGCTCGGTTGTGGATTCGACGGTCTCTTTCTTGGTCAAGTCGAATCTCTGTTAAGGAGACAAGTCAGCCGGGTCCTGAGAATCGCTTCGCTGTTGATAGAGGGGCATCGAAATGGGTGGATGCCGGAGGTTTAGGCAATCTGGGGTAACGAAGAGTGGGATAGATGATGCAGCCAATGCAGACGAAATGTTCTCGCGCAGCTGGTTGCTCTCAAAGACTGTGTGTGATTATGGAGGGCGGGCACAGAAGGAAACATCTGCAAGGCGAGAGACCAAGGGCGTTGAAGCTGGCGCCAACAAAGAAGACAGGCAGTATGGGGAAGATCAAACGTACCTCGGAGAGTCTCTGGCGCTTTGCTGCGCGCTCATCAGCTTCGGTCGCGCCATTAGCAGCGACCGACTTTCGCTTGTTGTCCATCGAAAATTGGTGGACAATGGTCGCGGCAACTTGCGCTTTTTGTTCGACGAGTCGCAGGCAGGTGCTGTATACGTTGCAAGCGCAATGGCTGATAGGATATGGCGCGATGCGATGCGATCGTGGTGCTGCGACGGCTTTGCGAAGACGCGTCGTTTGGAGATCAGTCAGGAAGGTAGGTGGGTGAGGTAAGGTCCGCGAAGGTAAGCCGTGGCAGGGTTGGTTGCAACAGGGCTGCAGGGCGCAGTGTGTGTGGCTAGGTGCCGTGTTCACGCGCTGAACCTGGAGGCTGGCTGAGAATAGCTGAGGTGCAAGCCAAGCACTTCCTTAGAACGGGAGCTCAAAGCTGGCAAAAGATAAACAACTGACAAAATGAACTGTTTCCCCGAGCGATGAGCAGATATCTTCTTTTTTCCCTCTTCCGACGCTTCGTTTTTTGAGATGGATTGTATTTAGGGAAGGCAAGATTGACAAGCTGTTTGGGCAACCAGTGGACGGAACGGAACGTTGGTCGCAAACCAAGGAAGGTACGTATCTGGAGCTGACAGACGGTTGTCACTGGTGCCTCAGGTAGCCATCAGTTTTGTGAGGCTTTCCAGGTTCATAACAGCACCGAGTAGGTTGGCTCAAGACCGCCCGTTAAATGCAGTGAAGAGAAAGTGGAGAGGAGAGAGTAGAGCTGCAGGGGAGCCAGAAATTTGGCGCTAGAAACCTCGATCCGGACCAGGCCGTTGACGGGTGGCAGGCGGCTGATACGATCTGGGCGGAGTGAGAAATATACAGACATGAGGAGGAGGAAAAAAAAAAAAAAGAAGAGGAAGCTCACCGCTCTCGGCGAGGTGGTCGGTGTTGGAGGGGCGGGCTGGTGCACCGGCGGCCTGGAGGTACTCTCTCTGCAAAACACTGTGTGCCAGTACACCTAAGCTTGCCAGCCCAGACCGAGAGCCAGGGGCGGAAGTTGCCGGCTCGGACCCTGGGGGCCAAATGATGGCAGCGCCGCTGGGGTCAGAATTACTGAGATCCGACTTTTGTTTACAGGCCATAACTTTTCCCACCATTTGAATAATAACCCCTCGTTCTTGCGCGCCAGCCTCCTCGTTCCGCCATATCATCGAACCTCGAGATCGGCTCCCCAGCTCCTCGTCCTCCGTCTCTCGTTGCTTCCTTTCTATCCGATTCGAGTCATTGGCGAAGCTGGGAACTGCGTGTTTCAGCGTCAATTCCTCTCTACCCCGCCTGCATTTGTTGTTTACCAACCTCGCCTTGCATCTGTGTTGGGAGTGGTCGCCTGACACAAGTTTGGCACTTGACTTTCGCTCGCGTCCTCAGACTCCCGTTCCCGTGTCCGAGAGTCGAACATCGCCAGTCTCGACCGTTGTCGCCCATCGTTTGATTCCGCCGCCAAGTCGAGAGCTACCCCGCCGCTCCTCTCGCCTTCGTGGTACCGAGAGTCGACGCCACCCGTTCATCCCACCGACGGACACGCAAACGCAGACACAGACACCGCATCCGCCATGGATATCGACATGAGCCGCCGCAACAAGGCCCCACGCCCTCTGTCCGACTCGGAGAGGGCTCGATTGGACGAGTTCATCGACTCAATCCACTACTCGGCTCGGTAGGTTATCCCATTGTTCTCCTGCCTGTGCAGTGCACCACCAAAACATGGAGTGGACGTCGCTAATTTGGCATGTGTCTCTAGATACTCTGATAGCGAATTCGAGTACCGCCACGTACAGTTGCCCAAACCTATGCTCAAGGCAATCCCCAAAGATTACCATGATGCATCCCACGGAACACTGAAGCTACTCTGGGAAGAGGAATGGCGCGCACTTGGCATCACTCAGGTATGAGATTTCCATCACGAGCCTGCGGGCTGTTTGTAACAGGCGCTGATACCTCGCAGAGTTTGGGTTGGGAACATTACGAGGTGCACGAGCCGGAGCCGCATATCTTGCTGTTCAAGTTGGTCTACCCTCCCCCTCTACTGACCGTTCTTGGAAGAGGTTTTCTCTAACGTGTCACCAAAGGCGTCCCCTCAACTACCAGCCACCTCAGTGATCTGTGGAACGAGGCGATATCCCTCGTTCTCCTGCAAACGCAGAACACATCCCCGCTTCCCGCCCCGGAGGCTATTACTGTCTGGGCAACACTCGACGACACGAATTACGGCCAATGATGACGGACGCTTTCCCTAGATATTCAGGAGAAGACATTGAGAGATACTAATACCTCGTCTTTGCGGACCACGGCAAGTGGTACAAAGACGGCGCATACCATTATGGTTATTGCATTTATTTGGGCGGTTCGAGTCATCGGGTTTTGTTAGTGTTGGGCTGTTCTGTTTGCTGTCTGCTGATTGTCTTGGAACCTGGTTGAGGATATGTCGGATTATGAAGGCGGTCTATCGCCAAGTGCAAGTGGCCAGCGCATTGCCTATGCTATGTGGATGGTGCTGCTGAGCTTTGCCACGATGACCGCTGATGGCCGTCGACGAGAGCACGCCACGTCTGGGAAGCAGGAAAAGACGGTGCGCTGATTGTGTAGATGGCCCTTCGTTGGCTATCGCCTGAATAGCTCGGCTAACGACAGTAATGAGAACAGAGCTTAGGGACACACGCATGGTCACTTGAACTTGGTGCGATCATGCACAGCTTCCTATTGTGTGCGACGGGCAGACATTCCATGAAGTTTGAGTATGCGTTAGATGTGAGGCACGCAGTGATGCGGACGTAGACCATGCCCGGGCAGAATTCTTACGACGTCTACTTCCATGATGGCACTTTCGCGAGACATGCAGACGGGATGTCGTACATGAAGTATAAGATGCTCTTCTATAGCCTCTGCGGCGTCGTCCTAGGTGAACATCTACGCATATGGGGTGTGAGAGGTTACTTTTGACTTCTTGCGATGACGGATATCCGTGGGCAAATAGAACTTTACCTTGAGCTTGCAAAATAGGTTGTTATGTTATTTTTTGACATCTGATGTCGGCATGTGCAAAGCTACAGGGAATACCCGTAGCCACGCGTATGACACAGGCTCCGAGGTCTGGAATTGGAAAGTTGGGGGCACTTTGGGCTGCACCAAGCCGGAACGAGCTGGGTGACTGCGGCGGCATCCGAGAGGCGATCTGGAGATTGGCGCCAGAGTGGTTCCAATTGGCTCCTGCATCTGCTGATTTTCCACAAGAAGGACACCTTTCACCAACGCCAAATTAGCCTTTTGGCCCCAGTAAGACAGCCCTGGAAGTCAAGTACCTTTCCGGTGTTTGCAGGCGCACGAGATACTTTGATGTGCTGGCCGCAACTGAGGATCAGCTAATTCTCGCCAGATAAAGTAGTACGATGTTAGACGGCATCCAGGGCCAAGCTCCAAATTAATCAGCTTTCGGAGGGTGGTCCATTGTTGCTGCTTATTTGCTTCGCCTTTGATATTGAGGACAGATTCCAGTGACATGACTCTGGCCACTTTAGCCAGGAACCAAAAAGACCGACGATCCCGTGTTCACCATCGGAGACGTATCCGACTTCCTCTTGAACAGATCACCTTTTTGTGTTCATCACTCGCTTCACCAATCCGTCATTACATTCTTTGACGTTCTTCCAGGGTTTACGACACTCTGAGAAGGAGGATTACAACATCAAGAGCTTTTGCCAAGGCGACGACGATCCGCCCAAGACCCACGCCCATGCCACTCGCATCTTTCATGTCAGACTGAGACAAGAACTGGGGAAGAGTACCTGACCCATTTACACTTCGTCATTAACCTCCAACGCCCCTGGCCGTTTCGAAGAAACGAACCTCTCCCAGCTTACTTTCGCCTTGCCTGAACTCTTCCGCACGTTTACAACGCTTGCACAGGCGCCACAACATAGACTACTTCGGATCCACGCATACCACGCTTCCAGCCCGGACACTCTGGACGTTTCAGCCGACCTTTGGAAACTTGTCGTCCGCTGATTAACAACCACAACCCTCTTTCTCCTCCGCGACCACCTGTTCTTGTCGTTGAGTTGCGTATTAAACTGTCCGGTCGGCCCATCCCCGCCTGTCCGACCCGATCACCATGAAGTCTGCAAGCAGATTGTTCTTCCTATCAGTCTTTGCGCTTTGGGGTTCTCCAGTTCAATGCGAACGCGCCCAAGATGATTGTGCGGTATGCCGCCGTTTTCTTACTTCTCTTGACGACCTGCGCCCTCGCAGCGGTTTCTCAGTACCGGTTCTCAGTTTCTAACGATTCGTACCAGATCTCCCCCAAGTCAATTGTTTCTGACGCATGCGCCTCTTATTCTACCCTCGACGAACTGAACACCAAGGTCAAGCCCCTCGTCGACGACCTGACAAGCTCGACCGACTTCTTCTCTCACTACCGATTGAACCTCTTCCACAAGAAATGCCCCTTCTGGAACGACGAGAATGGCATGTGTGGCAACATTGCCTGTGCCGTGGAGACGCTTGACAACGAGGAGGACATTCCTGAGGTGTGGAGGGCGAGCGAGCTTGGAAAGCTGGAAGGACCTCTAGCGAAACACCCTCCGAGAAAGGTGCAACACGAGCGCCCCGAACGACCCCTACAAGGAAAGCTGGGCGAGGATGTCGGCGAAAGCTGTGTGGTTGAATACGACGACGAGTGTGACGAGCGCGACTACTGCGTGCCGGAGGATGAAAGCGCAACTTCTAAGGGGGATTATGTGAGCCTCCTCCGGAACCCTGAGCGCTTCACTGGGTACGCGGGAGTCGGCGCTGCCCAGGTCTGGGACGCCATCTACCGAGAGAATTGCTTCCAGAAGAGCTCGTTCCCTCACTCGGCCTCTCTGGGTCAGTCACAATCTAGCCCCAAGGGCCCTGCGGTGCAAGACTTCAGGCAGGTTCTCGAGGCCGCTGGGCGACAGCAAAATCTGGAGCAGATGCGCGAGAAGCAGCCCAACGCACCCTTCGCAGCCCAGACTGGTCTGGAATCGGAGGACGAGTGTATCGAGAAGCGCGTCTTCTACCGCGTGGTCTCGGGCATGCACGCTAGCATCAGCACCCATCTCTGCTGGGACTTCTTGAACCAGACTACCGGACAGTGGCAGCCCAATCTGGCCTGCTACAAACAACGACTCCACACCCACCCCGAGCGCATCAGCAACTTGTACTTCAACTACGCCCTCGTCACCCGCGCGATTGCCAAGCTTGGCCCCTACCTCCAGGGCCGAGACTACACTTTCTGCTCGGGAGACCTGGACCAGGACGCCGCCACCCGAGCCAAGGTCCTCGAAGTCACCGAATCCGCGGCTAGTGTTCCGCAGATTTTCGACGAGAGCCTGATGTTCAAGAACGGCGAGGGCCCCTCCCTCAAGGAGGACTTCCGCAACCGCTTCCGCAACGTCAGCAGAGTTATGGATTGTGTCGGTTGCGACAAGTGCCGTCTATGGGGTAAGCTGCAAACTGCCGGCTACGGTACCGCCTTGAAGGTCCTCTTCGAGTTCGACAACAACAGTGGAGATATCCCCGTGCTAAAGCGCACCGAGCTCGTCGCTCTCTTCAACACCTATGCCCGTATCAGCAGCTCCCTCGCCGCTATTGGCAAGTTCCGGGCCATGGTCGACGCTGAGGAGGCACTCGCCTCCGCCGCCGCTGCCGCTGCTCCCGAGCCTACCAACGTGATTCCCGACCGGGCAAAGAAGCCACACCACGTGGTCACGTCGCAAGATGCGGAAGTCGAGATGGAAGACGACGACTACCCTGAGGAAAAGCCCCGACAGAAGACGACCGGAGAGCTTTTCCAGGAAGCCTTCGACGAGGAGTTTGGTCGCTTCCTCAAGGCCACCAAGTTTGTCATCAGGCGCTGGCTCGGATTCCCCAAGACATTGTGAGCATTCCCCCCTTCCCTTGAAGCATTCGCAAGTACTGACAGGGTATCCCAAGCTTCAACATCTTCATTGTCGAGCTGGCTCGCTTGTACCAGGGCTTCGTCGGTCTCCCGGTCATCGAGAGGACCTGGAACTTTGAACGGCCCAACCTGGATGAGTTGTAGATATCTCCTGACCGTCGTTGATTCTTAGCATGGCCTTTTCTTACACTGCATAGCCGGGCGGGGGCAACAGGCGTTGTTTTTTGCTTGCTTTCTGACTACGGGACACGACTGCGCTGGTGTCCATTACCAGACTGTATATAAGATCTAGATACCATTGCCTAAATGTAGAGCAATCGCGTTGTGTCATGTCATTTCACGTCTACGCTACTTTTCATGCGGTCTCTGATTTTACTTGCCATTGACAACAATACCCTGCCACGGTTTTGTAGCCCTGGTATAGCGATGCTCACTTGTGGTGACGTGGGTACTGAGGTAACTAATGTCACAGGACAACAGACCGCTAGGCTTTGGCCGCATACCTCATGCGTATAATCCGTCTTCTTCGCCAGCAGAAGCGCCCCTGCCCCCGTCCCTCAACGGGATGTGCGTGACGACGTTGCCGATCTTGGCCTTGACGCCAGAAACCCGGATCTCCCACTTTCTGACCTCCCGGAACGCCGGGAGCTTCAGCATGCCGTACGCTTGCAGGCACGCATCCTCGGGCGGCAGGCCGAACGTCCAGCCGATGCTGACGTGGAAGGCGTCGTGGACGAGCTCGGTGGCGCGGGCCCCGTACAGCGGCTGCTGGCCGAAGCGGAGGGCGACGGCGTTGCACTTCGTCAGCAAGGCGCGGAGCTGGGGGTTCTTCCCGTCACTGTTGCCGTCGGTAGCGGCGGTGGTGCTCCTTGAAGCGTGGGGATTCGCGACGCGGAGGATGAGGAAGGCGCGGTCCGAGTCTGGAGATTTGAAGAAGCCTATCCCTACTGGCGAGAGGACGAAGGAGCCCGCGGCGGAGGAGACGGAGGCGGTGAGGGCGGAAAGGAAGTCGTCTTTCTGAGGCGTCGTGAGGGAGAGGGGCCGGGAGAGGGAGACGTGGAGGGGCAGAGGGGCGTTGAGGTCTGATGTCAGCAGCGGGTGAAGCTTCTGGGTCCCGAGTAGGGGATCGAGCTTTTCTAGGAGCTCTGCAAGAAGCGCATGCTGCGATGCGTCGGGGTGCCCTGGCGAATGTGTCAGTTGACTAAGAAACGAAAGCTGATGTTGCTTGGAAGGATATCTTACACTCGACATAGACATGAGAAGGCCAATTGCCGGCGATGTGGGGAATGGCGCGCTTCCGTCCTTGGTGAAGGGAAGGGTCATCGGCGGTGCTGGTACGCACGGTGGAGGCGTACAGATCGTGGAATTCGTCGGGGAGAGGGGGTAGTGCCGAAGGGTCGGGTTTGGCCTTGTCTTTGCCGGCGGTGCCGTCCGGCGACTTTGTGGCATGGGGGCCGCCGTCGGTGGCCTTGCGGCGTTTGGACGGGGGTGAGCCGGCTTCAGAGGCCGAGTCGGACGAGGAGTAGTCGACAAGAGCCATTGCCGGGGCGGCAGCGGCTGGGCGCCGGTTGGAAGTTGGAATTGGTGAAGGGTGGGTTACCGAACTAATGAAAGATTGTTACATCCCCTCACTGCAGCCTGTCGACATTCAAACGGCTCTACGATGCCTGGGACAAACGAAACGAGGAAACTGTCAGCCGCATAGAAGGCTGGCGGTATCGCTGAGTTGGGAAGCCCATGCAGTCGAAGCTTTCTGGCAAGATCTCGATCCCAAATACGTGATACGCAAGGTACGGGTGGCCCAGGCCTCCTTCTCCATATCGGTACCTTACTGAGCAATGCTTACGCACCTCAGTACACGGCAGCCTATGAGAGCTGAAGCCTCTCAATTCCCCTGCCCTATCTGGAGGACTGAAAGAGGCCTCGATAGCACGACTCCCGACTGTTTTTCTCTTAATCTTTCGCGAGCTTATAGCTAGGCTTGGGTCTCGGACATGAAAGTCACGAAAGCGGTGGTCGCATAAGGCGGCGTAAATGAGCGGGCGCATTGCTCATTTTCACCCGTAACTGACAAGGAAATGCCGACGGGGGACAATTTTAAGCTTATGGTTCCCAGTGGTTGGCGGTGAAAGACCGGGCCCAGTCGGTCGACGTGTTCCGCAAGGAATCGGAGCAGGCATTGCCCTGACTTGAGGGGGAATGAGACGTGGGCCGGACCCTTCCGGCGAGCCCCGGAGGCGCTCCGGGCGGACAGCTGGCAGCATAGAACGGAGGCTACACGGAGCCTGGAGGTTGGGGGCATGTGAGTTGGCCTTGGTGGATGGTAATTGCAAATAGGTGCATGGTGAGACTTATCAGTGGCCTGTTAATTTGCTCGTGGTATCAGCTCTGTAACGGTTGGTGCACTGGAGAGGTGGACTGGTAAATGGGATGAGGGCTACGCAGTGCGAATAGCGTAAGGTAGTTTGTGGTCCCCTGGCTAAAGTGGTTTTCTGTTGGTTTTTTTTAGGTTTTGCTGATCGCATGACGTAGAGCTCGAGAGCCAATGCGAAGCCGGCTAGACGCAAGACAAGACCCAAGAGGCCCGCGTGTCCCGCTGACGGCGAGCCGGTGGCTGAGCTAAGGCAATCTAGCGGGCGAAATGTTTCGTTTGGTCTTCCATTCTCTCCCGTACTGTTGGGTGACAATTTGGTCCCTGGATCCCCGAGGATGCCGTTGTCTTTGGTCTGCCGGGGGTGGTGTTTCCCTCAGCGGAGCCGTTGAGGGGAAATGGTAACGTGATGGGCGAGGGGACATGTCTTGCGTGCGGATCGGGGCCGGGGACTTGACTTGAACCCAGAAGATGGTGAAGAGTTGATGTTCTTCACGTAAATGATGTTTGCTCATGTTCAAGAGAGAAAGGCAATTGACATGGCGGGAAGTTAAGATACCCACGAAATGAAGCAGTGACAAGCAAGAGCTCTCTTCCAAATGCATCACATTGCCGTTGTAAGAAAGAGTTCCGCCCATCCATCATTTCAAAGAGCAGGTGCCTACCTACCTTAACTTATCGTCCCCGTCCCCGTCCCCGTCTTCCCACCCACATCATCCAGTCCCTTGGTGCATGCAGTGACTGGACCTGGACCGCAGCTCTTGCCCCTCTCCCCTCCTCTTCGTCCCCTCCCCCTCCTCCGCGAGGTACTCTGCAAGTCCCTGCCAGTTGGAGAAAAAAATCAGAAGAACACCACAAAGACGTCTCACCAATAGCAAGCCGGTCCGTCGCGGCCAGCGCAGGTCCCATGATGGTCACTTTCCGGACCGGGCATGTTCCCAGCAGCCCGTCTAAGAGGAAGGTACTTGCCTACACTTCCTGATGTCTGCATTCGCATCTTCGCCCACACTCTTGCCCTACCTTACGCAGCACGCAGCACATGGATGAGGGTCTTAACGGGCCTGGACTGACTGTGCCTGTCGTCGCCATCATGCTCTTTTGCCCACCCTCATGACTCCATGCCCCCGGGTATACACCTCGCTCATCCCACCAAGCGGAAGAACGGACGACGGCTGGAAAACTATCAAAAGGGCCCTCACACCTCACACCTCACACCTGCTGCCGTCCCCGGTTTTTGCATCCTCTCATCTTTCGCATTTCTTCTGTCCTGCATTGCCCAGCTCGCCCGCGCTGCGACACACGACACCGAATAATCGACGACTCGAAGTGACGAACCGACAGCAGAAACGACATCAACATCGACGTCGACAACCATGGACGACTTCGACAACAAGCAGTGGGTAAGTCTTAGTCACCTGGTTTCATTTCCACCTCCAGAGCAGGTTGCTGTCATGGTCTCTGTCATTGCTCATTTCCTTTCCGACCCTAACATGGCCATGCCGTGCCAACCCAATCGTCATCGCCCGCGTCTCTTCCAGACTTCCGTTCCTTCGCATCCCCACATTTCCAACCCGTCAGCGTCACATCTCCCGTCTTATCGCCCTCTGTTCTTCTGTACCTCATTCACAGAATCACACACATTCCGTCACTGCCGGCCCGCCCAGCCTACTCCTCTTGTCCCTAAACGTGGTCGAAGCCGATCGTCCCGTCTCGCTCCCATTCCCTCCGCTGTTAGGGCACCAAGGCCGTGCTCAAGCCAGGTCTTGGAATAGAATCGATACCTACACTATCTAAGCCCAAAACCTACCCAAGCTACCCCTGTCAACATCAGTGAGTTGTACGCAAGGTACGGACGGGTCCTCCCCTGTACTGCACGGTTCAGCCACCAAGCTGCGCACAGCGGCTGGAGGTCCCTTCTTGCGTCACTGCTCATCCAACTTGTCGGATTTCCAAGAACAGCTACAAGCTGCCTGGTCTGGCATCATCCAGACTGCAGCTAAGCCATGGACGACGTAAATAATACGGGCCCCTCCACTTGCACATGCGCGTCCTTTTCTTGTCGTTCGACTTCTTGTCTACTATCGTCCTCATATTTGACCTTGCCTCCTCCATCTCTGTCTGTGTCGATTATCTTACACACTCACCTTTCACCATACCCGTAACCAATCCAACCTCGAATACTCGACTTACACCTTGATTTAGGCGAAAGCTTACTTGCTTGACCCCCTAACTGCACCTGAACCAAGCCAGGAAACCGGTCCCGGAAGTTCATTCATCAATCCGGATCCATTGCTTCGAACCTTCTCGCAGAAGAAGAAAGGAAAGGAGCCCGTCCGATCTAGCAACAGTCACCGGAGTCATAAGAGTGCCTCCTCGTATCCTACTCCGCCCACGTCTGCAAGCCCGACTCGGTCCAGCTTTCACGCTTCCAACCCATTCTCGCCTACGTACAACAAACACGCATCATTGCCCTCCCCGAGAGAGCCCACCTCGCCGCCGATCCACAAACCTTTGGGTCGCAGTACCAGCGTTCGCAGTAACAACGCCAACCTTCACAGCAGCGGCTACAGAGGCTCTGGTCCCCCGAGCACTAGTGTCACTCGGAGTTACAGTGCCCGAAATCGCTCCAACGAAGAGGCAGGATTTCGTGCCGAGACCTCCTCTGTCCAACGCAGCAAGAGCGTAAACGTCCACGGTTCTGGCGGTCTTCGTCGTTCTGGTTCATTGAGCCAAAGATACGCTGGCGACATGTCTCATCGACCTCTCGACATGCTTAAGAAGGAGCAGCGTGCAGCGGACCGCTCCCCGCATCTCCGGACTCGCAAGAATGGTCCCATGACCGATACAATCGACGGGCTTGACACCATTGGCGGTGTCTATCATCACGGCGGTCCGTATGACGCCACCTTGGCGTCTCGCAATCGCAACAAGATGTACGCCCCCGTTGAGGCCGTGAAGGAATCCAACATGGAGGCTCTGAAAGCTACGCCACATGAATACGTCCAGGATTCACTGAGCAAGCATGTTCCCTTGCAAGGAACCGGCACTATTCCTGCCGGCGCCAGTGACATGCGCGGCAATGTTATGAACTATGAGGAAGGTGCTGATCTGATGCGCGAGCCCGATGCGCAGGGCGGTGCTTACAAGCGCTGGGACGGAGTTGTAAGTTCACTTCACCTTGACACTCGTATTGTTTACATCATATCTGACTAATAACAGCGGTACCACCCTGATGATCTTAAGGGAAAGGGTGAGCCTTCGTACACGTACGAGAAAGATCTTAAGGAGAAGAAGCGTATGCGCAAGGCATCCCTGGGCAACAGCCCTTCCGAATACGAGATGCGTGCCGGCACCAATGGCCAGTCACGCAAAGACAATGGGGCCATGGTACGCCAGCGAAGTGTGAGCAACGCCGCCGACGGAAGACCCGGACCGTCGGAAATGCCCGCAGGTCAGTCGAACAGCGCCGACCTTCAACGTCACAACAGCACCGGCAAGCGTCTCAGCGAAGGCCTGAAGAAACGCTTCGGAAGCATCCGTCGCAAGCACCATGCAGCGGCCTAGATGACGGTTTTGGCTCATTCTTGCGCTTACACCTCATGTAATACCACGTCGTTATGACGTAATGTCTCTACTAGACCACAAACTGCGTATTGTGGGACACTTAATAGTCGGTAAACCAGAATTTCAGCGAGAGTACGATAAGGAAGACATATGGGGAGGTATAAGTCGGACACGAAAATGGCTTTGTTAGTGGGGTGGCAGAATTGTTGGAGCCTGCAGTAAAATATCTAAGTAACGCGTCACGAAATTTTGGACGCGAACGAGCAATGGCATATGATACGGCGAGTTTGAAGGCAGACTCGGTAGCCTCGGAAGGCATTATGAGCAATAGCTAGAGTAGGATGAGCACATCACATCCATCTCTCATTGAGGTTAGGTTTCTAGTTTCGATAATAGTACACGTTAACTTAAATCGCTGTTGACTTCATACCTTGTTAGCTCATTCAATTGGACTGGAACCTGGGTCTCCCATTGTGCGATAAGATCACCTACGACGATGGTCGTTCGCAGACATGATGGTGGAGTAGGAACTTTGAGCCGGATGAACCGGGTGGCATCAAGAACACGATCTCTGAGCTGCAAATCACCTCGTGTAAGCAGGAGTGCAAGGAAAGACTGTCGCGTCGATTCGAAAGAATTAGAGCCCCCGGTTGATTGACTATACTACAAAAATGATTTTTGATCGTTCTACTTCCTCCTCATGCTTCGGAACCGCTTTCGAGGCCGATAACCCCTGAAGTCCGTTCCCCGTCGACCTCTCCGTCCCCCGGTTTTTCTCGCATCCACCTCAGAAGTAACTCATACCGCTCCAGCCGAGGATGCCCTCCAGCTCGCCCCTGACCTCGAGGACGTCGCCGTAGCCGCCCTTGCCGGCGACCTCGGACCTGCGGCCGGCGCCGAGCTCGTTCCAGCGGGAGAGCAGGGCGCCGTCGACGATGGTGCGGCCGGCGCTGGTGTCGACGCCGGGCGGGCGGGCGTCGAGGGGCGGGAGGCGGTGGGCCTTGGGGTTCGTGGCGGCCGCGTGGGGGAGGGCGGCGGCGATACTGTTGGCGAGGGAGGTGAGGCGGCGGTAGGCCTGCTCCGAGAGGGGCGTCAGGGCGGCGAGGGCGCCGGTGGGGGAGGCCAGCATCAGGGTCGTGGGAGAGTTCTTGGACGCCGAGGGGCCGGCTGAGGAGCGTGGGAGGGAGAGGGTCGCGGTGGGGTGGTTCGGCGCCGCGGAGAAGGAGGCGCGGTTGAGGAGGAGGTGGCCCTGGAGGGATTTGGGATCTGCGGACCGTGTTAGTATTGTGAATGGTATAGAGAAGGCGGTGGGGAGTTCTTACGCTCAGGATCGAATTGCATGGCGTGGATGACGCCGTCCTTGTCGCAGACGACGATGTGAAGCTCGTCTCCATCGACGAGGAAGTCCGCCGTCAGGACCTCGAATTTGCCGGTGCTCTTGCCGAAGAGCATCATCTTGTACGGCTCCTCCGCATAGCCAACGAACCATACACCTTTGAAAGCGTCGGCCATGAGGCAGTATCCGGTGCCGCGTACCTCTCGGACCGCGGTGACGTAGCAGCTCATGTCCATGAAAGCAACAGGGAGGAGAGTACCGTCTTCCTTCAGACCGCGTACCATGCATTTCTGTCCTTGGGCGACGAGCATGAGGCCCTGAGAGCCGACTTCGCACAGTGCGGTGACGGCTCCGCGGGGGATCTCCTCCTTGGCTACAAGCTTCAGCTTCTTGTTCGTCTCGGGACGCCCTGGCTGGGGAACCACGGGGACAACGTCGTAGACGAGGATGCGACCTCTGATGGGCAGATCCTCGCCGCGGTTGATGGCGGTGCCGATGGCAATGAGCATACGGCGTTCCTTGGTTTCCTCGGACACTTCGAGATGCAACGTCTTCATGCACATGGCGACCTCGTGTTGCTCAAGCTCGACCGTGTCAATGACCGACCATGTAGCAGGACTGAGGAGCTTGATGACGCTGCGTTCCGTCTGAGGGAACGTGGTGATGGTCTCCTTAGCCCATTCCTTGTGGTAGTCATCGTCCTTGGGAAGCTCGAACGGCTGCGCTACGCTGCAGGCCACGGCGTATGTCTCCATCGGGGGATGGTAGGCAATGAGGCCGATGGCGTCACCCACCGGGATCTTGCGAACGGAGACACCCAGATCGAAACTCGTATCCGCCGGCAACTGTGTGACACGGGTGTGGCCTTCTGAGTCGGCGTAGATGAAGCCGCGTTCGCAGCCTTCGGTGTGGAAAGAGCTCATGCCGCGGACACCGATGCCTTGCAGACCCATGACTTTGGGGTTGCTCTTCGACGACTTGATGATGAATGATGGCGACGCCCCTGGTAGGAAAACTGTGCTGTATCCATTGATATTGCCGCATGGTCGGAGAGGCACGAAACGTGGCTGTTCATTGGCGTCGTCATCTGCTACTTCGACGGGACTCTTGGCCAGGTACGGGTTTGTGACCTTTTGGAAATGCAGAGTCTTTGCAAGGCCCTCGGATTTATCCTCTGATTCAAGGCGTAAAGGTTCGTAAATGGTGATGTCGTCATTTGCATGGCGGAGCTGTTTAGGAAGGTTAGCAGAAGAACGCGATGTGTTGCAATCAGCATACTCACAATGAGATATGGAGAGGTTGTTGTAGAGTCGCCGAGGTTAGCCACCAGAATCTCTGTCAACGTTTCCTGCACGGTGCCACGTCTGACGGCGTAGTCGGCGGAGAGGAATGGCGGAACATAGGTCAGTCCGGCGGCGACATAGACCGGTTTCGACAGGTTGGGAAGGGTGTAAATCTGCAAGTTGTGAGTATATCGAGACAAAACCCAAGTGAAGTACGTACGTAAAGAGCCCCCGCGGCGCTAAGCAAAAACATGAAAATGTTTTGACCTTCTGGCGTGCCCTTGTCCGTCTGAATAGGTGCGAAGAGACCTGAAGTGTCGGTATACAGACAGCCAGCGAGCCATTTGGTTGAGAGAATGGTGTCGTCTTGCTTTTCGACCTCTTCCAGATCGTTGTTATTGTCTGTTTGAGCCACCATGATGCTCGAGTCATCCCGAACCAGCAGAATGTACGGGTCCGCAATGCTGGCGCTGATGACTCTGGGTTCCGCTCCTGTTTCTTCGTCCAGCATTGGCAAAATCTGGCTCAACCCCAGATCTGTGTCTTGGTTAGCATTCATAGATGCAGGCGAAATCCGAGCAACTTACCTCCATCATAGCATCGCACTTCCGATTTGAGCACCTGAATGATGCGCATGTGTTTCCCCATCGTGCCCGCCTCTACCGTAAAACCCGCCGCAGGATCAAACTCCGTTCCCGTCAACGCTTCAAAACCAGCGCCTGTAAGAGCATAAACGTCTGACGTCTCGTAGCCGTCTAGATCAACCTTGGAAACAATCATAAACTTGTCGTATATAGATGAAGCATCGAATTCGCTCCCCACTGCAGCATTTGCGCCTTTATCGCCCTGTAACGACTTCGGGATCGGCTTTTGGACACACATGGTCCAAAATCCCCTTGCTTCCGGGAATTCAAAACTGCCAATCACCTTAGGTTGGATGTTTTGATTGATGATGGCGATGGCACCCGCATTGCCTTTGCCCACAGCGGCGGCGAGCTGTAGGTCTGCAACCACACCGGCAGAGTTCTTCTCTTCTTCGCTTTCCGGAATGAAAGCCTGTTTGCCCGTGGTCATATCCTTCACCGGAGCCAAGCTCAAGAGAGAATCATGAACGCGAAACGATATTTCGCCGCCCTTGGGAACTCCGTTGGCTGCCACGCCGGTTTGAACGGTCGTTGTGGTTTCGCCGTAGAGATCATCGTCGTCATCCTCTTCCATGTCTTCATCCTCCAGATCATCCGCGAAGGAATCGTCCACCAAACGAGTCTTTTTGCGAGCGCTCTGTGCTTGCTTTCGAGTGACTCCCACGACGAGGGAGTCACTGCCCGTGCTTCCAACGAAGAACACATTTTTGCTGATTCTATTGATTGAAGAAGCTCCGCACGGCACAATGTTGCCCCCGGCTTCCGCGGCGACAAGCTTAACACTGACCCCCGACACTGTCCGCCCGTCGATCTTGAAGGCGATGATTGCAAGGCGGCCGTCGCTAAGCACCATGAGTAGCTCTCCGTTCTCAGGAGACATTTGCTCAATGGCGCAATTCTCGAGTCGCAGGCCCAATTCTGATTGATCGGCGAGAGGGAAATTGGTTGTCTCTTTCGTGAACGGATTGACGGCCACACCATTGGGCTTCCCTGACTGGTCGATATGTATCAGCTCATTGGTGCCGACGAGCAGCGCGCCTCCAATGGGGCCCGGTAGAGCAATGACTTTGAAGAGATCTTGAGGGAGGTTGTTGACTGAGAGAATGGCCGTTGACGCCCGTTGCTGCAGGTCGAGAGTGAAGACCTTGTAGGAGAAGTGATCCTTCCGCGGTAGGGTGTTGGAGCGCCGTTGCGTCGAGGAGATGATGCCGAAGGTGGGTTCTCGGTACTCATGCAAGAAGGCGAGGTGCACAGGATGAAGGAGACTGGGATCAAGCTGCGGAAGAGGGAGGACGTATGATGTTGAGTATGGTACATCTGCTATGTTGCTAGTTCCATTTGTGGCCGCAGCTGCTGACGGCTCTTTTGCCGGCCGAGGTCCATCCACATCTTCATCCCAGTCATCCATATCAATGTCCTCATCGTTTTGCTTGAAAGGGAGAAAGGCAACGTATCTCGGCCCGAATCTGAGCGCGGCGCATCGAGAGCCAGGGTCGGCAGCAAGCTGGGTTTGGTGATTGCTCAAGGGGCCATCGAATGGCGAGCCCTCAAGCTCTTCTTTTTCGTAGAAGTGGATGGAGACGTCCTCGAGTGCGTGTTTCTCAGGGTCCCATTGCACCAGACTCAGTCTGGCCACTCTTGTAGCAATCAGGAGAGCCTCGCCTCCAGACTTTGAGTTTGGTATCTTGATTCTGGCAAGTCCCGTCACAACGCCAAATATTGGGTATTCAGCGACGAGCACAAGCTTGGTGTTGGTGGTTCGATCGGCGCGGATCAGCATGCCGTCGCCGCCTAGGAAGGAGGATTCGAGGCCATCGTCGTCGTTGAGTCGGCGGTCGTATTGATTGTCAGTCCTCGAAGTCTGTCTCTCTCGATTCTGCGAATGGTCAATTTCAGAAGAGATTGCCTTTGTCGTGAAAATCTGTAGTAGAGAACCTTTTGCGACGACCAAGTTATTGCTTTGCGCGGACAGGAACGGAAGGCTCAGACTGTACTGCACACCAGTAGGTGGTGTGAGCTCTGTATAGCACTGCATCAGGACAGTCTCAGGCAATCGCCCTTGGACCGCCCGCTATCATGAGTTTCGAGTAGGATGATGCTTGGGGAGATGCGTGTCGTGGGGTATCGCAATGCTTCTAGAACGCCAGCTTCGCGACGACTTCGCGAGCTCCAAACATTAGCAGGCCCTTGCTGTTCCTCTGCCGTTGCTGATTGGCAGGAGATGCTATTTCGGAATATCAGCTTATCCGAAGTTTTCATGCGCAGGTGGATACCTGGACCTGGATGGGACGAATGTGGAGCTCAGACCTGGTCCCGGCCCAAGCACGGGTGCTCCTGTGTCGCGACTGAGGTCAGGATCAGAAGGCGCTAACGAGGTTATTGCGTCACCTTTTACTTGCCTTTCCCGTAGCTCCCTAGTCCCGTCGCTATTTACTTCTGTGGTAGCTCTGGAGCTCCCCCGTCTGGAATGGAACGAGCTGTGAAACATTGACGATACTCATCCACAGTTTCCCTTCACCTCTGTTCTGCGCAAAACAACACACAGAATTGCTGTCAACACTCACATAACCTTTGTTGCGGCGATGCCAATCGCAATCGAAATGGCCAGCGCGGGCCTCCTCCAAACCAGTTTGATCTGGGTCGCCTATGCCGTCGCCGTCGTACTCTGCCTTCTGGCAGCCATCATCACCACATTCACATGGCAGGCACCTCGGGAGCGATCTGCCATAGTCAGTGTCGTTGCGATCGTCAGTCTGACAGCTCTCTTGGCAACCGTCCTGCTCCTTCCTGTCGACATCGCCCTCATATCATCAACGACTCATGCGTCGCTCGGAATCAAGAAGGACTGGGCAACAGAAGAACGGGTTCACGATATCTTGCAGACCCTGCGAATCGTCTACTACTCCCTGTACAGTTTCGACGCTCTTCTGTGCCTCATCATCATTCCGTTCGCCTACTTTTGGTACGAAGAATATGACGAGATCGAAGTCGAGGAGGGTCGGTCGTTCGGCAGCCGCTTTTTCAGCGCCTTCAAGTACACTTTGGTCTTCGTTGTTCTTGTCGTGATACTCTTCCTCATCGGCTTCTTTGTTCCAGCTGCCGGTAACGACTCGGACGCCAACTGGGACCTGGACTACTTCAAGCGAATCCTCATCCAAAACAATGGACAGAAGGCACTGGCCTTCGCCCTCGGCCTTCTCGTCACTCTGGGCACGTTGCTCTATATTGTCTACACTGCGGCCGGTCTCGCCCTTCTGCCGATGTCTTTCATCAAGTCTGCCCCCTCGATCTCAGCGCCGCAGCTTACGGAGAACACGGCTTCCGCACTGGAGCAGAATCGCGAGCGTCAGCGCCAGTTGGAGATGCGCAACGCTGGCCGACCTGAAGGCATGTCTTCCAAGGACAGGAGGGAGCTTGAAGCCCTCATTCGCGAGGAGAGAACCCTGACACGCCGGGAAAGGCTTGCGGCCGAGGCGTCCGGCGAGGGCCACAGCACTATTTACAAGGTCTGGCTCAAGATCTGCGCTGTCTTCAGGCCTATCAAACTGCTTGGTGGCGTCCTGATTCTTCTATTGTCCATCATTATCTGGGTCTCGATGTTGATTACGGGTATTGACAAGGCCAAGAACTCTCTCTGCAAGGAACGCTGTGGTTATATCCTTGGCCACATCAACATCTTCCAGCCCATCAACTGGATCTTCTTGCAGTCCGCCAAGGCTTTCCCGGTCGACTACATCCTCATGGCCCTCCTTGTTCTCTTGTTCTTCAGCAGTTCAATCACGGGCATCGCCACGGTGGGCATTCGCTTCCTCTGGATTCGTATTTTCCAGATCCGCAAGGGAAGGACCGCGCCCCAAGCTTTGTTGATCGCTACGGTCATGCTAGCCCTCATCATTCTGGCCATCAACTACGCCATCGCCAACATGGTGGCACCTCAATACTCGATCTACGGCACCCAGACTTACTGCACTGCCCCCCATCATGCAGGCGAGACGCCTGATTGCAGCGACAGGCCGGACTATCTGATCCAGTGCTCCGAGCGTTTGGATAAGGAGGCTCTGAAGGTCTGCACGCCTTCTATCATGGCAGAGTTCCTCAACCGCATCACCATCACGTGGCCCTTCTTCGGTGCGCTGGACTTCTGGGCGCAGTTCGCTTTCCTTGGCGTATTCCTCATCGTCTTCGTGACAGGTCTGTTCAGGGCCCCTAAGCTGAACATGTCAGAGATCGACGAGGATGCTGAGGCGGACGAAGAGGAGGGTCTGCTGGCCAGCACTGGTCGCCGGTTCGGCGCTACGTGGCAGGATATTACGGGACGCTCCAAGTCGAAGAAGACCTATGGTACGGGAGAGAGTAACAACGGTGGAGGTTCTGCGCAAGCCTAGGCTAGGCCGGACAGTCAAAAGGTTTTTCTTACGTTGAGCATACGCTAGGATTGTAACACAAGCACTTTGTGAATTTGTATTGGGATTGGGCATGGCACACGGTGGCGGGGGAAACGGAGTTGGTATCATTTCTTTTATTTCCAGAATGCCAAAAATCGTCATTGTCGTGTTCTCATGATGCTCCTAGTGCGACCCTTCTTTTCTGTTCTTTCTTCGGCTTGACGAAGTGGACTGCCTTATGCGTGCGGTCATCAAACGCGGCAGCCGGGCCAACGTGCATCTCATGCCAGCAGCGAGCACAGTAGACGTCCTCACAGCCCAGACATTGGAGCGTGGCATCTTCTAGACAGACGGTGCACCACGTCTCGGCGTCCTCATCGGTGTACCCCGTCTTGGACGTCAACCTCTTGACCGCTCGATCGGCCGGTTGGAACGTAGGTACCGAGGGCAGCCCCATGCCGCCCTCCGACGGAGCACCGAGACCACTGAGGGCCGCCATGCGCGCCGCAATGTCGTTGTCAAAGTCTGAATCGGCGGTGTGCTTCGGGGCCCCCGACGGGACCGACGGTAACGATAGGTCGGGCAGGCCGCCGGCGTCATCACCGCTTGACTTGGGCGCCGTGATGGTTGAAGGAACCGATGGGAGTGAGAAACCTGGATCGCCGCCGCCTGATTCATCCTCTTGGCTCCTCCTTGAGTTAGTCAATGCCGGTGGCGGGTCAGGTGACTCCTCTGACTGCGAATTCAGTTTCGCCTCATCGAGAGCCTGAGAGAGCAGAGTCTCCACATCTCGACTCATCTCCTCGCCTTCAGAATCATCCTCATCACGAGACCTGTTAGGCTTTTGACCACCCGTGGGCGGTGACCTCTCCTCCGGGGCATGCGGCGCGGGCGAAGCCTTCGATAGTTCTTCTAGAAGGGCGTTCACCTTGGCGGACTCGGCCGAGGGATCGAAGCCCCAGTCTTGCGGGTCGAGATCCTCGCCGCTGAGCAGGTCTTCGAGGGTTTGGTCGTCCGTCTGCAGGAGGGGATCGACGTCATCCTCCGTCGTCGGGACCGACGACGGGGCGGTGGTGGACGGTGTTGCCTGGGACTGAGGCGGTGCTATTGTCGCCGCCGCCGCCGGGTGGGGTCCGCTGGACGGGATCACCGGCGAGGATAAGCTCGCGGTCGCTCCGTGGTCACCTGCCTGCTGACCGAGAACCTTTGAGGTCTGTGACTGGGACTGCTGCGGCGGCGCTGGGGCTTTGGGTGGCTCCTCGCGCTCGGGCGTGTTTCTCAGAGAGCGAAGTCGCGCGGCCAATGCATCCTCTCGTGAGGGGGGCTTGGCGGGCTCGATGCCCGTCAATGAGACGTTCAAGGCACTTTGGTAGAAACATTTAGCACTCTCTTTTTCTTCCGTGCTCTCGTAAGTTGGAAGGGGACCTATTGGTGGGCTCGGTATATGATTACTTTGATGATCGGTCTAATGAGACGCCGGAGCTGCCTCCCTTCAGCGCGCTCAGGCGACTCAATAGGCTCTTGTCGGGACCACTCATGCTCGAAATTGAGGACGCTCTGCTGCTGGGAAGAAGATGGGTAGGATCTCGAGTTGTTCGACTTGTGTAAGACGATAGACTGGTGGATCGAGAGATATGCGGTGATCGACCCTTGTCCGCAGTCAGTCTGACTGTGTGCGTGGTGTGATTGGTATGCGGACGAGACCAATAGTTGCGCCCGACTGCTGTGGCAACTGTGTAGTTGAATTGGGCAGGTCACACTTGTGGAGCAAGGCGAACCGCGAGGCGTCCAGGGGTTCGGGCGCACTTCATTCAGACTGTGGGGAAGTGCATCCAATATGTCCGATTACCATGTCGGATCTGGAGTGAAGAGGTTCATGAGGCAACCAGATCTACCATGTGGTCAAAAGGGTTGAAGAAGCCGCCACGCTGAAGTAGAGTTTGGGCCGATTCCCCAGCTGTTGGAAATAATCGTGGAAATGATGGCATTTGAGGCGTTATTGTTGCACAGCCATTCCTTAGGTTACCCCCTGACCATAACTGCCACCGATACTAGCCACCAAATAAGCTTAGAATAAGCGAGAGTACCTTGGGGTGCATTAGGCAGAAACGACTGCGCCGAATATTCTGACCTCCACTGTGTTTGATGTTGTCTTCAATTGATGGGACTTTACAGTTCCAACTGGCTTTCGAATTGTTTCACTGGATTTCTCAAGAGAGGAAACATTGCTCAAAGAGAAAACAGCCTGGGAGGCAAACAGTGAGCGTTTGACGGGACAGCGAACTAACTAAAAACCAAACGCGATCCGCAACCCCTAAATTACTTGTCAGCAAGGGTCTTGGCATTTTGATCTTTCAGTGAGTGGACTGCTAAAAGAACCGATTGAACATCGTCATAAGCCAGCCCTTAGCGGTGAACAGTCAAACGGGCGACCTGATCAACAATATTTCGGTGGCGGTGCTTCCTTCCACCTCTATGGACAGCGTTGCTTGCAGACGATAAGAGCCTAAGGTACTCCGTACGGTTTCGGCGAAAAACGACGCCTCAAACCGGTGCTGCCTACCCTGGCGGAGCACACCTGCAGGATCGTAACCATTATGAAGACGAACTCGGGCAATTGAGAAGGATGTCCCCAGCTGCTCAGCCCAGGGCTGACTATTCCGTCATGCAAGGAGATCTTCTCGAAGCCGGCCAAGATTATAAGATCACATCACTCTTCCTTTCTTACAATATCCTGAGTTCCCTTTCCTTTGGTCCTAGACTTACTTACCCTCTATTACCTAAAGTAAAGCACTTACCGCATAACTTGGAAGTGTTTGCATCATTGTCGATCCACACCGGGCACACCTCAAAAGCACCTGTACCACCACACCAACGAATCCTTCACCTCATTGACTTCATCGCGCATTCGCCTTCATCCCTCGGTACGGCCTAAATTGTCCGGGCCGCTGATCCCAAAGAATAGCGCCACGAACGGATTCACCAGTCTTTGCAGTGACGGAAGGGTAAACAACCCTTTGAGCATTTCAACCGAAGCCTCCGGGTCACCCTCGTCATAGTTTTTTGGTGGCAACCACTGAACTAGCACCACATCGCATCTGACGGGTTTCCTGGTGACTCCGAGCATCCCTGCTTACCCGCCTGCACTGCGCACCTTGGCGCCTGAGACACCCGACATCAGCTTGAAACCCGGGAAGAGACAAAAATCAATCCGCTCCCACCTTTTCTATTACACCGAAGGCCGACTTTTTACACTTTCACATCACCTACGACCTTCCCACTCAACTTCAGCCACTGTAATCAAAGTCGCACAAGACTTTTGAAGGCATTCCCATTGCATACTGATTTGCACACGTCGTATTTGACGATCGGCGCATATCCCACCCTACCGAGCAAACCGATATTCGTACACGTCCAGTCGCAAACGAAATGAGAGTAGATCTCACAGTAGTCGCGCTGACGCTTCTCGCGCCAGTCTGGGCCGCAGCCCTCGAACCCGGCCTCCACAGCTCCGATGTCTCCTTCCTCGCACCAGTAGAAGAGCGCGACAACGCTCACGAGGACGAGAAGCTGTGGAAGCGCAAGGGTGGCGGCGGAGGCGGCGGCGGTAGAGGAGGAGGCTCTTCAGGTGGGTCCGGCGGAGGTCGCTCTGGCGGTGGTTCATCTGGTGGTTCTTCCTCAGGTGGCTCTCGCTCAGGCGGCTCCTCAAATTCCGGCTCTGGCTCACCAGGTTCTCGTACAGGTGGTTCTAGCAGCGGTGGTAGAAGCGGCGGCAGCGGTAGCGGTACCGGCGGCTCTGCCCGAGGCGGCAACCGCGATTCTTCCGGCGGATCTACCAAGACGGGCAGCGGCCCTGCGCCGGCCTACGGCGGAGCATACGGCGGCGGTGCGAGGGTTCCCTATGCGGCCGGAGCTTCCAGGGGTGCCGGCACCGTTGCCCCGTTCCTGCTGGTCGGTGCCGGTCTTGCGTTCTGGCCCGGTCTTTGGCTTGCGGGCGCGCATATGTATCCGTACTCTCACCCATACCGATACTACAACGAGTCGGCGCGTGAGAACCAGACGAAGCCGGTCATGTGCGGCTGCGCTGACCACCAGCCCTGCGCATGCGATGAGAACAACAGCACCGAGTATATGAACGCCCTCCTCGGTAACGGCAGCTACGCCGCTCTCAACAAGTCCGTCGTCAACGTCGCCGACTACAACGGCAACAGCACCATTCTCATCAATGGCACCTTGCCTAACGGCACGACTGCCTCTGGTGGCAGTGACGACGTCGGCTCGTCTGCGGCGTTCCGTGTTGTGGCCGAATCTCTTGGCTTCTGGCCTGTTGCAGCGGTGGTTCTGGCTACAGTCCTTGTAGCATGAGTTGTTCTCACGAGTAAAATGTTAGTTACGAATAGGGGGCTTTCTGTACTTTGGCGTTATTGATACCCGGAAGACACATCGGTGTCCTTCGCAAAATTAGACAGGCATACGGCAACATGGGCACTAGGACGAGGCCATAATACATTCAATACGTTAATCTCTCGACTAAATGACGCCATGTGATGAGAATTCTATGCCAATTTATTTGGCAAAAAAATGCATGACACTCAGGCCGCGGCTCTCTCAGCCCTCCGTCTCTCACACCACTCACCCAATTCCCGCCAAATCCTCTCCTTCTCAGCTGGCTTGAGCGTAGCAGCGAGACCGCTCGTGCTCGTAGCAACAAACACCCTCGCACCGCCCCACGCCTCTGGTCCCTCGACAACCCCCATATTCTCCCCCTCGTCCTGCCACCCGTACCGAAACTCCTCCTTCCGAATCCCCCTCCCGTGCCTCACCCTCCACACGCTCTCCCAGATGCTCTTCCCCACGACGCAGACCGTCTCGGGCCGGCACCCCCTGACCTTGTCCTCGAGCGCGCCCACGCCCTCGTCCATCTCGGCCCTGCTGAGCTCCGCGCCGTTGCGGCTGGGCCGCGCGACGATGTTGGTGTTGCCGAGCCCGTACAGCGCCGGCAGCTCGCGGTCCTCGGCGGGCAGGCACAGCCGCGGGGTGACGCCCGAGGAGAAGAGCAGCTTCCAGAAGAGGTTGGACGGGTGCGCGTAGACGTGTCCCGTGCGCGCCGTCTCGAGGCCCGGGTTGAGGCCGACGAAGAGGATCAGGAGGTCCGGGGCGAGGATGTCGACCAGGGGCGGGAGGTGGGCGTAGGTCGAGGGCGGTGCGTAGCCCGTGGCCTGGCGCTTGCGTTTTGGTTTTGAGGGGGTTTTCTTCTTCTTCTCCTTTGACGCGGAGGCGGAGGAGGAAGGGGAGGCGGAAGGTGATGCGGAGGTTGAGGGCTTTGAGGGTGTCGTCGTCGATCTGGCGGCGCGTGTCTTGGTTACTCGGGTCGTCGGTGAGGCGACGGGGCCGAGTGGAGTCTGCTTCCGGGGGCTGCGCCGGAGGGGAGACGGTGATGTGGCCGAGGGCGCGGGATCCGGTTTGAACATGAAATCTTGGAGTTGCAGGCGGCCTTGGAAGCTCGCGGGTTTGCTTTTGGGCTCCCCGTCCTCGAAGAATGGGGAGTCCATGGCTTTGTTGGATTTTGAGCCTCTTACTGTTCCCCTGAGGGAAGGTGCGATCCTCTATCCCGGATGAGTTGCGAGCTCTCTTGGTATTTGAGAGATTTGGTTCTAATATTCAGAAGTAGTTAATCAGGAGTTCGACGTGTTATGAGACTTAAATAAAGGCAGGAAACTTGTCCAGTTCAGGAATCCAGAGGCGTAGATGTGTGGCTGGCTTCTACAACGATGTGCTGAATCGGAGTGCTTCAAGGCGAGATGAAGTAAAAGCAAGCTAGCTCTCGCCACAAGTGAAGGGAACTAAGTTTGCTCTTTCCAGACCATTTCGGGGCGTTCGAGCCACTAACGAGGGGTTAATTTGACCCACAAATGACCAAGCATTCAGGGAGGCGAGTTACAGTTGTTCACACGCATGTCGATGCCAACTAAACGGATTTCGAGGTGAGAAACAATGCAACTCTATATTCAACGGCTGCGAAACTCGCAAACTCCTCGACAAGTGGTATCTATCATGCAACCTGGTTCCAGACCCGTATGTACATCCTTCACGCTATGCTCTTGGAAAATCCCGAAAACCTCCCCATAATGAAATGCTCTGTCCATCCCGCAAACCATCCGTCTCACAGGACAATAATGTTGTCGACCCTCCGCCCCTGCGTCTCAATGAAGTACTTCCTCCGCACTCCGACCCCGAGGGCATTGCCAAACTTCTCATACGCCTCAGGCCCACCCCCGCGAATCATGATCATGGCAATGGGGTGCGGTCGCCGCAGCCCCGATGGCGTTGTCTGCTCAACGTCTAGATGAGGCTTGATGAGCTCGTACTCCCACAAATCCGGGGCGCTGTAGACGTAATTGTTGTCAAGCTCCTCTTCGTCAACGATGATGACGAGCTGTAAGGCGCGCGACGAAGGAGTGAAGGAGGGAATGTTGGCCAGCTTTTCGCTGAACGAGCAGCCCCCGCGACGCATGACAATGACTTGATGCTGACGGGGCGCCTCGTCAGGGAGTCGGCTGTCGCAAGCGTACCCGGCGAGATACACAGTTTGCCATGGCAGATTTGGCGCCTCATCATCTGTAGGAATGGAGGAATCCGGCGTGTCGGGCAAAGGAACTGCACCTTTGCCGACGGATAGAGATCCCATGAAGCTCTCGACGAAGAACTTCGTCTGGCTTCCCACCGGACGCGGTGCCGGAGTGTTTGTGGGATCAAAGACCGACGTGACGGCGCGAATCATCGACTTCAGCATCGACCTGTAAGCTGTATTCATGCTTTTAGTCGACGATTGATCCCCTTGTAGTTCGGATTTGGTCTCCTCGGCCAGTTGTACTTGGTCCTCGATATTGTCAATGCTAATCTCCAATCCTTCCGCGGGCACAGGCTCGCTAGCATTATTGACTTTCGGCTCTCCGTGTACCACGATGAGCTCGACGAAGCCATTGTACCGCACTCGGTTGAACAATGGGTCGGATATGCCATTCAAAAGATCTGCGTCGATATGAACGGGTTCGTCCCGTCCAAGCGGCATGTGGTTGACTTGTGTCACACGCCAAGTGTGATCATAGGCAGCATCGTAGGAGTCCTCCCGGACGAAGTGTATCTTCAGTCCATTCAGAGCAGCTATTCTGACACCTACCGGTGTCTTGAAGGCTGCTGTGTTGGCAAAGAGATTGTTGAAGGCACTGCCAACACCGCTCTGCTGAATGCTGGACGGAAACTCGATGATCAGCGTTGGCTTGAAAGGCAACGCTGCGCAAGTTCCATTATCGGGTATCAGTGACCGAGGAAGCGTCCAAGGGAAGAAGGCATGATTTGCCTTGTACCGGGAGATGGAGCTGTCACCTCCTTTGCCTGCGGGGACCATCTCAATCCCACTGTGTGGGTTAGAAATGGTATGCAAGTTGACAAAACTCGCGGCATGGAAGACATCTGGTCGGGCAGCAAGAACTGAGCCGGTCATTGGCACCGGTTTTGCAACCGGGCAAGTATTTGTGAAGCTATCATCGTAGTAGACGTCGATGTTTTTGACCTGTCGCTGAGGCTCCTGTTTCTTCTTGGGTTTTGTCCTCCGTCGAGGTATAATGAGCGGATGAGCCTCGGTGGTGAACACGTAAGCTGCGTCGAGCTTGTTCAGAGGATGATCTGGGTCGAAGAGGAGGTAGAGATATTTGGTGGTCTCGCCAAGGAAGAAGCTCTGCATGCGATCGGCCTTCTCTCCAGTATCGACGTTTTGAAGACCGGACCAGCCACATTTCGTGTAGCACAACCTCCTGATGTCGTTGAGAACCATCTCTCCAACGTGAATATACCAGGGATCATTGGTTGCACGGTAGAGGTAATAGTTCGACTCAATGAATTCTGGTCGGCCTGGCCACCAACCGATTCCAGAGTCAACCTGTCTCTCGCGAACCGACCATCTTTCTGGCAAAGCACCGTAGCGCGTCCATAAGGCAGTGTACAACAAGTTGGCTTCCTCAGCTTCTTCCACTTCGCCTGCCATAGCAAGAAGTCCAGGGTAAAACGCCGCCAGACTGTCGATCCAGCTCGTGAAAGCGTATCCACGGGTTCTGTGCCCGGTCATATAGTACGGGTGGTGCGCATCGTTATACAAGTGGCGTTTGATCGCTGCATGTGCGTGGTGCCATGCTTCCAGGAACGCTCCCGCAGAGTTCTCCTCCGGAGTTAGAGGTGTATCATGAAGGGTGTTAGGATCGAGCCATTGCCGATCTGTGGGGGGCTTTCGCGTTGTGATATTGGGCAGCTCATGGCCCGACAGCAGGATATGGCTTTTCAGGGCGTATTCAAAGAAGCTGTCAACACCAGCGCCGATTCCGGAGTCGAAACTGACCCATTCGCCCTTTTCAGGGTCGATTGCGTTGCCAACGAGACCAATCTCGCTCTTGCCCTTCCAAACAGCCCAGAAAGCCCTCTTGGCAAGCTGCTCGAATCTCGGGTCGTCTGTCAGGCGGCTAAGGACTGTGAATTCCAAGACCAGACTTCCTGCACCAGCGCTACATGTGTCGGTTTTTTCGTTCGATGCTCGAGGTGAGTCGGGATCGTCACGCGAAACCTTGTGCAGAGGAGAGTTGACGTAAAACGGTATGCCATGTCGCAGGTTAACTCTTGGGTAGGGCAGTCCAGTTTTGGTGTAAAAGGCAGGAAGAAGCCGTTCTGCCAGGTCCAACGCCAATCGCAAAAGCTGTCCATCGTATTTGAATCCATTGGGCCATGATATCGGCGGCAGCTCTAACGGGTCTGCGTCCTCGTCTTCGCGGTCGATGTGTCCCGGGTTGTAACCTGGTATGGGCAGCTCACCGACGGCAAACAAGTGCGCGCTCAACAATCCACCAACCCCGCGGATGACGGTCTCGAACACTTGGACCTTGCTGTCAAGATCGAAGCCCCGCGCCCGCACTCCTTCTCCAGACGGCCCGGCCCTGCCATCCCCGTAGTATTCGACGAAAGTCGTCACACTCTGCTGAAACTCTTGCAAAGCCCATATCGCAGTGTCCTGATCGGATGGTGTGCCCGCGAGGATGGCTAGGGTCGAAAGGCTGTCGATAAGGGTCAGGGAGTAGTTCCCAAGAACGTCGTTCAGGTCGTAGTTTGCCGGATTCGCGGGGTCTCGGGTCAACGGGGTACAAGAAACTGGTCGCAACTGCATCAAATAGTTAGCCCCGCTTATTCAAACTGGTGTGGTTTGGGGAGTCGACGAACCTCATCCTCCGGAAAGGCGATGCGCATGTAGTTATCCCAGCCATGGTGGAAGACCTGAGTTGTAGCGTTCCGCAGCTCGGCAAGCTTGGAAGCACTAATGGCAGACACGGCGGTAGACCATGATAGGCATAAGTATAGCAGAACGAAAATTCGCGATAGCATGATGCTGCTATCTCTCCGAATCGAGGTGCTGGACAGGATTCCCATCAATCAGCGGGCTGCCAGCGGCAGATGCCTCGACTTATGAGCGGGTCGTGACGTGATTCTTCATGGGAGACTTGGGATCAAATAAATGACGCGATTGCAGAATCAAGAGAAAAGCATCGAGTGTCACAAGATAAGATAGACTGCAGAATAGAAAGAAGCGTTGGGTTGAAAGGAAAGACGTCCCTTCGCATAGGTCTCGTGCCTCCTTGAATTTCGAGGTGGGATGGGTTGATGCGGCCGGAATGCGAACGTCTGTCCTTTGACAGCCACAGTAAGACAGCTTTTGTGTCTCCGATTGGTGGAGCGATGATGCAGCCGTGGCTAGAGTGTGGCTAGTTCTTGAAGAATGGACTCACCCGACTGCGATGGACGGAAACCTAGAACCCACCTGACTCAGCACATGGAATCTTTCGCTGCCCATCGAAATTGTGACAATCTGCGATCTTTCCACATGAGACGAACGTGCTTGAGTCAGAGCGAGTCCGAGATGTTGTTTTCTAGAAAAACTACCGAAGGCAAGAATCCCGCTCCCGTTACCTTGACTCATAGGATCCAGAATGCATAATCTCAGCTCAGACTCACGTCAATACAGACACCAAAGCACCAGCCTGCCTCAATAACATCGGCCAAAGTCAAAAACACCATACCTTTAGGTTGACTCAAGATTAAGAATGTATCACGAATAATTCGTCGCGGGCGAGATATGCTACGTTGACGTGAGACGTAGCAGAGAAGAGTGAGGCCACAGGGTCTGCAAGTCATGGGGAGGGATGCCACCTTCCCCATCTTGGTCGTCTATGTCATTGTCATCGTCAACGGCAACTATGTCTGCGATACTCGGACATGTCGGAAGGAACGACACCATTCTGCAAAGTCTAAATAATGAGGATGCGATTCTTGCATGTTTTGGGAAGGAGGCTTCCTTGACTGCTTATCTGGCTTATTGGCCAATCTTATCAATGAAAAGGCAAGAACAAGGTGCGGCCAGTGCGTTCGGGCGCTAAGAGAAGCTTCCTGACACTCCACAGCGCCAAATCCTTCAAATTCAACTTCACAGCTGCAATAACGTGTTTCGAAGCGCTTACGACGACCACAACAGCCGCGCTGCATAAGCGCAGACATCATCCACGCATCACGAGGTCCCTCAATCCGGTTCAATCGTTACTCTGTATAGGCGCCCCAGGGACATTCCCTCCAAGTACACTGGCTTCACCCCTTGGGTGCTCTACGGCCAAACGTCGCTTCGCAACAATGCACGTCTCCACGACCTCGAGCTAAAGTACCTCGACTATCCGAGGCGAATGCGAATTTACCAAAAGACTTTGATGTCTACGTCAACTTCTTCTCGGCTGCATCCGCATCAGGTCAATCTTGCCGTCTGCCTGTGACGTCTGCCTGGTACGGTTGAGTCACGGTGCGCAGACCCCGGGGGTCTGTGACTGAACCAAAGCCGGCCGCAAGAACGGGCCGCGCACTGCCTACCCACACTGCCAGGTTATTCCAGAGACCATGACTTCAACTTTGGGCATGCAAATCATGGGCTCCATTATCGGAAAATGACCACTGGTAAAGTCTGCAGCGACGTTTCAGCACATGAACCGTTGATTAACTACTTCAGTCCAGACTCTCAGGAACTAGCTCAGATGGACACAACCAGTGGATCTCTCGCCTGTACGTCAAATCAGGGCTTGACAGGAGAACAGATGGAAAACTTGGCGACGTTTTGATAGGCCATCAAGCGAGGCCGCTTGAGCAGCAAACTCGCAACAGGGCTCTTGGCAACAACCGTCATCACCTTACTGCAACGCCCGCAGTCCAGGGTCCGCACTGCCACCCCGTGTCCGGAGTTTCAAGCAGCAAACTGGGCAGCGTGTTTGCTGTGACCTACAGACTCTCAGCCATCAGCCCCAAGACTTTATTTTCGGCCTTTGGCTTTGCTGTGGTTTGCGAGACGCCTCAACTTCTTCAGAAGATCAACTTGACGAAATCAGGCTTGCATGACAAACGATTTCTATCACTGCGGCGGTCGTCGTCGTCCTGAACGTGGATCAAATTCTCATAACGGGCGCAGAGCCTTGTCCCCTCAGAAGAGCCGTATCAGACGTATGAAGACAAGCCATTTCAGAACCAGGGCTGTTTCGCCGGATTCCAAATCAGGCAGGAGAACAGCGATTTGTACGGGTTGCCGTAAACAGCAAAGCTTTACAATACGTACCTTCACTGACTTTAAACCCGATACTCTGGATCGAATTCTGCAAGAAAACAATAATGAGCTGGCGCCTGCGTTCAATGCTACAGACAACAGCGCATTTCCTTTGTCGTGGACATGCTACTCCACCAATAGAAGGTCAAGGCAACACGCCTACTGGTGGAAAAGCATGACGGAGGAGCTCAACCTCCCTGATACAACGGCGCGCGTTGATTCAACTGGCTCCTGTATGGGATTCTGCAAGCCCTCTGCAAGGGAAAGGTCATACCCGGCAGGCGGTTCAGTTCAGCAGTCTTGATTCGACAGAAGGCGGTCCCGAGAAGTCGGTATGCCTCATCACTGGCTGGAAACCGCATAAGTAGTGGCTTAGCCGCTGCAAATGAGAATTACCGGCCACTTCTTGGCCAGCTCTCTGCTCGTCTAGGGATGATCTAGGAGCTCATTCCGGATCCATGGCAGATGTGGCAGATGGCATGATCTCCTTTCAGGCTGGCACACGCGCTTCGCGCTTCACGAACTCGCCGTCGGGAGTGGGAGCGGTTGAGAACGCCGCAGAGCGAATCAACTTCAATCAAGTGCGCAATCTCGATTCTCGAATGGGCAAGACAGCCTACGATCGCCCATTCTGATCCTGGTTCCAGAAGTCCCAAATTGCTGGTGTCCTTCAGTGACTTGGCCACCATTATCCGGGGACGAGAGCGGATGGCGTGACGCAACGGACGAAGAAGCAGAAAGATCGACAGGAAAGTCATTGGACTGAACGATGTTGACGTGTGCACTCGACAAGGTCTACTGGCCTAGACACGACACACTGCAACAAAGGGCTACATCGCTTCGCGGATGGCAGCTCAGCCCGATGGACACCCCATTTGACCAACGCCCATCGGCTACACTACCCCATGGCCATACAAGCGGGGAATCAGTCGGTCCCCATTTCCGCTCTCCATCTCTCGGCAACCCGTTCGTAAAACACAGCGTTGAGAAGAACAGAACGGCGGACACCATCCGAGTAGATTCAATCACGAGGGAGCAGCATGTGAAGTTTGAACGGGGAAGGGAACAGCTCGCGGTGCGCCTGGGTCCGCGAAGACCCGTAGGGGGACATGGGGAGAAGGCAGCAGCGGCTCCTCAATTCCTCACAGAGCCACTCAAGCTTGGGTTTGCAAGGTCGCGAAAATGAGGCACTGCTTTTTGATTTTCGCCCACAGCAATTTACCGAGTTTCTGGGACAATTGATGAAGTGTCTCTGCAGAGCGGAACGAAACTCCACAACTGGCGCAAGTATGAATGGGACAGTGCGGAATATCTGGCCCTTGCTCTTCCTGCCTCCCCTCCCTTGTTCAAGGGTCAGGTCGGGATACGCACGCACCAGCGCCCGCGATTCACACCGAGCCCCGAGGTTTGATTTGCCAGCAGGGGGTGTTCATCACTCCGTCACCGTTCAAGCAACCCCGGTCGTTTGGCTTCACGCTGAGGTCCTCTATTCCCGGGACCTGGGAGACGAGAATCAATCAGAGGCCTGCAATCACATCCCCATCACGACCGGTCAAGAGCCAGAAGAGTGGAGGGGGGGAAAGAGGAGCTTCTCCCCGATCCGTCGGCCGCTCCCTGGCAACTCTCAACAGGGACTCGACCCTCTTGCGATCAGATGAGGCCACGGATGGGACATGAAGACGATTGAGATTGTGATATAATGCGCTTCTTGGCGCATTCGCGGTTTCAATTCGACCAGAACGTACGCGAAAGGTGTTTAAGACTGGAGACTGGACCGCAAATTCTCTCGTCTGGAATCTCTGGATGATGCTTCCGGTCCAGGGAAGAGGGGAAGGAGGCGCCCACGAACCTGGAGATTGGGCAACCCCGTTGCGCATCTCTCTCTCTCGCTCCAGTCCTCGCTATCTCGGACTTTGTCTTCAGCGGGAGAGCCATCACCACTCACTTAACCGTCTTACGTTGGCCGGTACGGGACGTATCCGCAGCGCTGAGAAGTGATGGACAAAAGAAGTCGACAAACACACAAACTCTTAGAGATGTATACGACGCCTTTGATGAGCCCGCTCGAGTCCTCATATATTCGTGTGCATAAGGTATGTGTAAGACGAAGCGGACTCTCCGTCGGTGTTTATCTTCTGTTTCACATCTCTATGCTACTTTGCTATCCAGGCTATCTGGATTTCATCATCTCATCAGTCAAAAGACCCGGTATTCCTCACAGACTTCCCACTTCACGTGAGTGAGGCAACCCCGGGAAGCCGAGAAGTCGTCTTGGCGGGAAGGACAATCACAGTGCGCGGAAGCCGCACAGCGGGGCCGCCGGCTGGAAGGGGGGTCCACCGTCGTTTAAAAGTCCATTGATCAATTTCTCCACCGAGGAGGGTATCGCCAGGGAACCGGGGTTGGGTCACTCCAGTGTCGTTGCGCGCGCGGGCGGACACGGGGACGCCCCCGGGGAGAAAGAAAAAAGGCACCACCACCAGAGGAGAAGAAAAAAGGGCCATCACAGGACGAACGAACCTGACAGGGCAGAGAGGGTCGAGAGTCGAGACGGATGGGACAGCGAAAAGCACCGCGCATGAGCAGGGAGCGGCGCGCGCCAGCCCTGGGGCCCAGCTAGACACAGGGTCAAGGTGAGGAGAGAGAGGGCGAACGAGGGTCGTACTGTTCGCCGGTCGTCGCCCGCTGGAGATGTGACCCTGATCCCTCTCTCTTTGCCTATCCTACTCCCCCAGAGAGCCAGGTTTGGTCAATTACTCGTCAATTTTATCCTCTATCGTTGAGTGATTGACGTCCCTCCACCTACCTCATCTCTCCCTCTGGCGCTGGCGCGTTTTCTGCCTTTCCCTTTCCCTTCCTTGCCTTGCCATGATCCCTCCCCCTGCCTCGCCAGCACCGCACCGCACCGCACCGGGGATCCGCTATTTTCTTCTGCCCCCAAAAACAGAGAGGCAGAGAGAGCCCCGGCTCCCAGCTTTCCAGCCCAGCCCGTTTCGGTCCTAGACCGGGCGGGTTCGACTGTGAACCGCAATGAATGGGCCTGGCTACGAAAAGGATGAATAAAACCCTCGATCACTAGCTGGGGTCCCCGGGTTGCTAAAGTGTGCGGAAAAGCAGCACGTCGCATCCGGGCCAGAAGGGCCGCGGACACGGTTCTTTGTCGTATGAGGTGCTTGAGTCTCCCCTCTTCTCCTCCTCTCCATCGGCCGGGGTCCGGTGGGAGAGAGAGAGAGAGACTGGGTGATGGAGCAAAAAAGATGTTCGCAACAAGCGTGTGCGTGTGTGTATGGGCGCCAAAAAAAAGCCACAGCCGAAAGAAAGTCCCTTTTGTTTTCCTGGTCTCTGGGTCCTCGGCATCGGTGGCACGGACGGGGAGGCGCGCCCGTTGAAGAGGCGAGGGTGCGCGGCATGGGCAACAACCGGCGGCGGCGTTGCGGCGTGGTAAAAGGGGACTTTGGTCTTGGTGGCATCCATCCGTACCTTTATTATTGCCATGATACTCCCGCGTGGTGAAGGGTGAAGGGTAAGAGTAGGGGGAGGAGATTGAGAAGGGCAGCAACAAGCAGCAGCAAAAACGGCTTTTTTCCTTGGCAACCTTCCAATGAGACGTACACGGATACGCCGTATGGTGGCGGTAAGGTGAATTGAATGAATGAATGAATGAACGAGCAACGAAACTAAGAACTGCCTTGCTTCATCCCCGGTCCCATCATGAGACTTGAACGCTGTTACGTTACCGTGACATTGACGCCGGCGACCGCGATGTGGTTTGAACCTTTGAAAGGGCCGCGAGGAGGAGGAGGAGGGCCAGCTGCCCCATGTTCCATGTTCGCCATGCCTTGTGGTCCCGATAACCTGGGATATTCTGCCTACCTCTGCCTACCTCTGCCTGCTGTGCCTGCTGTGCCTGGTCCGAATGAGCCCATCTCTCCGCCAACGTGACGGTCTTGGGCAGCATCGAGCTTCGAGGAAACCCACATGCGATGTCTTCATTTCCCAGTCCTTGTCGCTCTCCCAGGCAAGACGAGACAGACAGGACAGTACGTGGTGATTCAGATGTCAAGATGGGGTACTCATATCACGATAGAGGGAGACGGGCGATCAGGGGGTTCGTTTTGTGTGAGCGAATTTGGAGTTGATCCTTGCGGTGATGAATTCGTTCAAGGTCGAAAAGTAGAAGTATGTACAAGAAGTATAATGTAAGATGCGTAAATATGATGATATGCATAACCCAACAGCAGAGCAACCAACCGACCGACCCCTTGTGCCGCCCGCCCCCAAAAACCGGGTATACCGAATACCCCAACAGAGAGAAATGAGTGGTGGTATCTCTTTTTGTGCGAAAAAAAGAAGACATTGGAAACAGTCTATGCGTTCATCCCGAGTCCCTTTGGTAGCCCAAAAAAAAAACAAAAGCTCCGACGCCCATGAAGTTGTTGATATGTAATGTAATGTGTCGAAAAGAAGAAATCATCGTGATCTGCTCAGTGGCATCTACCGTAGCTGTCGTGAAATGCTTAAGCAGCTCGCGGCTTCTGAACACGGGCCTTGCCGGCGGCCTTTGTCGCTGACGGCTTCACGCTCCTTGTTACGCGTCCACCGCTCGCGAGTAGCTCCTCCTGGGTTTGCTGTTGCTTGGCGCCACGTGTGGCCTTTGCTTGCGCTTGTTGAAGACGCATTTGCTGCATCTCGAGGCGCGCGTCCTCCTCCTCTTCAAACTCGGGCTTCAGATTCCTGGTTTCGATGATATCATTGATCAGATCAGACCGCTCATCTGCCGTCATCTGTATCGCTTCCGGTGTCGGGTTACCCGCGGCGGAATGACGGCGGGCGTTGACCTTCCTGCGTCTACGGACGTTCTTGGTCGGGTCCATTGGCGAGGGCTCGTATTGACTGCTCGCCCATCCCAACTCTACCGCGCGAGCCTCGATGTCGCCTTGGCCCCAGTGTGCGGCCTTGCCACCACCTAGTTCTCTGAACTTCATGTACACCATCTTGAAGAACTGCCCCTCGCCCCAAAGCAAGGCTTCTTTCAGTCTTTCGTCCTGTGTGCGGGTCAGTCATTGTTTCTCATGATTGTGATGGGTATGCTTGGCTTACCTCTGATGTCGGCCAGCCGAGATATTGCGATCTTCCCCTTTGGACCATCATCTGTAGGCGCTCGATGTTTGACGTTGTGTTGAATGCTTCGTTGAATTCGCCTTGGATTACTTTCCACATGCCCTCTCCCTTTCGTGTTTCCAGCTCATGTCGCCGCTCGAACAGGAACCGTTCGAACGGAGGGCAGTTGGGCTTGATGATAAGTTCGCCTGGTTGCTCGTCCGTTGTCGGAGGCAGAGGGGTTGACTGGGTTGCGGGCTTGGGAGGTTCGTCGGGACGGTTCCTCATGCGAGCCGGTCTCCTCACACGCGGTTGACGGTCGCGGGGGTTGCTGGCTGTACGGTTGATCTGGCTAGGGTAGGGGAGCCCGAAGCTCGGCCTCCTACGCATCTTGTCCCTGCTGTCCGAAAAGTTGTTTGACGGATACACGGGTGCTTGCGCGGCCAAAGGAAAATTGTGGGGAGGGGCAAAGGGATGCTGATGAGCCATGGCCAAGTCCGGTCCGGTCATCATCGGGCTCGGCTCGAAAATGGAGGCACCCGTGGTCATCGGGTAGAAAGTGTTGTGCATTTGGGGAGACAGAGAGCCTTGGTCGGATTCGTGCTGTTCAGAAACACCATAAGAGCCGAAGTACGGGGCAGGGGCCTCGGGCATTTCGTCCTTGATAGGAATGTAGTTTTGCTCAAAATGACTTTCTGCTGTTTGCATGGCCGGTAGTGGAGATGGGGCCTGGCTGTGAGGTGCGCTCATGTCGAAAGTGTTGGACCAGTTGGCGGGGCTCGACTGGTACATGGGCGCTGTCGTGGAAGGATGATGTTGCATCATCTTTGCGGTGTCCTGAATAGAAGGGGAACTGACGCCAGACACTGGGGTCAAAAGATGAGGTTCGGCTTGCTGGGGTTGGCTGAATGTAGTCACCTTTGAGGCGTGTTAGATCTCGTGACACGACTTTGATAGTCCCATACGTGGCTGGGCAGGAGTCATGTTCGGCAACTTACAGAGTATGGGGGTTCAGGGTATGCCGTTGTGGCGGGCTGGATAGATGGAGAGCAGCGCTCCCCGTATCGGTCCGCGTGGTCGATGTAATGCTGGTCTGACATGGTGGTTTGGATGTCTAGTGACGATGTTCGACGCGGCGGGAAGGGGGATGGCGGACAGAATGTGAATTCACGAAATCCGAAGAGGCGTCTCTTGGCGATTGTTTAGATGTTGGTGGCGCATGTATATAATTCTGTGTTTGGTGTTGTAGGTTGATGTGTCGTCTGTGATGACTCTGAGGTGGGAAGGAGGGGGAATAAGAAGGATGGGAAAGCAACTCGAGTCAGCCTTCTTGTACCGGGGGGAGTATGAGGTGGAATAGATGAGGAGAGCCTCGCGAGGACGGGAAGACGGCCACGGCCTATTAATGACGAGGGAAGTAGACAGCGATGGTGGTCGATCAGAAGAGTCGGATTCTGCACACCTAGGCAGAGGACAGGGGAGCCCGCTGGAAGGGACTGCTTGACTGCCCATGGCAGGGGTATGGAGCAAGTGGGAAACCCACCTTTTGGGACGGAGCAGAGTGTAAGGTAGGCGGCGGGCACCATGGCCGGGGGTGGTTGAGAAGGTGACCGGGGAGACGATGCTGGAGGTACGGATACACGAGATACAAGCAGATGGTGTATACAGATACAACACACAACACACGGGCCAGGAGTTGCATGCGGGGACTCAGACTGGGCTTGTTCAGTCGCAGGCGATAGCCGCCCGGGGCTGCTGTGTGCGGATAGGTAGCGGTAGATGCGGGTCGATTTGGACGCCTGAGTGTGTGTGAGCTGCGGACAAGGACGACTCAAACTCGAACTTGACGGAGAGGAGCTTTTTGGGGGTGGGTGATGGGCCAGAAAGAGAGATAGGGCAGGGGCGTGTCTACATCTCCATGAACGAGGGGGGATTGACGAGGTACGTAGGTAGGTAGGTGGAGGAAGAAGGAGAGCAAGGGTATTCGCCAGAGAGCTTCTTAGAGGCTACCATTGACTGAGATCCCAGCCCAGGAGCAAAGAAAGACGCAAAATGCAGGTGCAGGTGCAGATGCGGCGTGCGGCCCATACCAGCCAGTCCATAGGCTCAGAACACGAGTACACCAGTTAGGTAGGTGGACTCCCGTCTGTCCAGGGGAGCATCTACGGCGGAGAGTAGCAGAACTTCTACCAGATACCTGCCTTACTCCAGTACTACGCAGCATTCGACACCTCGACTCGACTCGACTCAACTCGTCCGGTTTACTCGTCCTCCGGCTGCTGTGTCTCAAAACGCCTAAACGGTTGACAGGTGTGGGACCGGTGGGGAAAGAAACGACTGATGAACATGGCTCAGCACAGCAGACTTAGACCCGGTCGCAGCGACCATCTCGGATACTGGCATACCAATGACGCTCTCAATGATTGGGAAGGGCAAGCCAGATAGTTATCCAGTCCCTTTGGGGGTGGCAAAGCGCGGGAGTTCGGGTGCATTGCAGCGAGACAAGAGCAGACCGCCGCACGGCTGACCGTCTGTTCTGGTGGTCTGGTCTGGTCTGGTCTGGTTCTGGTAACCGGATCTAAGCCAGCATCGAGGCTTTCTCTGTGTCTGCCGTCTCTATCGCGGCTCGGCTATGCTTTGCCTCGTTTCGCGCTTCCAGGCATACATGGCCTATGAATATGGACATCTGCTCTCTGCCCATAATGGGGTAGCAGCCGTGCCTCTCTTCGGCTAATGCTCGCAAACAAGCTACTCAGGGCATCCAGGCCAGTTCCCTCATGGGCTCGACGTGAATGGCGTGAATCCGGAGGCTGATGGGGCCTAGTATAGATTAACCCGCCATTGGGGATGGATATGCTCAATCTTGATGGGGGTGGCACGCCCCAAACCTCCAGAGGGCGCAGAGAGTGGGCATATTCGCGGTGCGAGTGCGGCACACGCTCACACACACCTCTACACCTCAACACCAAGACTGCAAGGCCCTGGATCGGACGGGTGCACGGTATATGGAGTTTTCTTGTAGGGCAGGACACGACAGGGGTTCGGCACTGGGCACTGGGCACTGGGGGTGGTGAAGGTTCGGAGAGAATGGACCAATTTCTGCGAATTTGATGCTGTGATCTTCCTTTGCCGTAATTAGTCTGGACAGGGTAAACAAGATGAGCGGCCGTTTCTTTATGGAAAATGCCCAAATACCAGCGTCAGGACTAGGCTTTCTCTCGCCGGGGGAGAAACCCGGGAACCAGGTGGGCGAGGCCGGAAATGTTGCCATTGGATCGCGGTGAAACACGGAATAACACGCTGAGAACGACGCCGATTCGAATACAGGTACGAGGAACAAGACGATATGCAGTAAAGAAGAAGTGGTGCAGATGAAAAGATGGGGTTGAGGTTGACGCGCCTCGTACTAATTGCAAACGAGCGCGGTCTCCGTATGCCGCATATCTGGGTTCACTCCGCAGATTTCGTAGTGTAAATAGAGTCAGACCCGATGCAAAGGACTGGAAATCTGCGGCAATGTGCCTCGAAAAGCAATTCTGCGTCTGGGCTGCCGGCGATGCACTGATGGACAGCACAGCACAGCAGATGCAAGATGCAAGAGATATTCGTAGAGTGGCTGGCGATGGTGCGTAGAGGCGGAGAGGGCATATTGTGACATTGGGGGCTATTCACTGATGCTCCTCCGTACGGCCTAAACGTCGCGCACGTACTGCCTACTGACGGACGCACTTACGGCCGTAGACCCACGATAACCCAGATTAGCATGGATCGCCATGACGGGGTCATCCCGAGAAGCCGCTGGCACGGGATACCTAGTGGAGAACGACTTCAAAGTGAGGAAAGAGGAATTAGAATTGGGTTCGGAGACGGAGCGGCTGGACCCTCAAGTTCGAGTCGGTCGTTTGGGACGTGATAGGAAAGTCGAGCGAAGTGAAACATGGGAGAGAGTCTAAGGAACGTGATTGCAAAGACTGCGGAAGAGGCGTGTAGAAGACAACACGGCTGGGGAGTATCCCACACTGTGCCGATATGAATGAATGCGTTCTTTCTGGTATGAAGATACGGATATCGGTGTTGGTGGATAATAATAAGGAAGTTCCTGCTGGAGATGAAGTGGTTGTGGAAATGAAGTGGGAATAAGGTGATGGCAAGGGAAGAAACAGCCACTAGAGACCGTTGACAGGGTCTCGGTCGCTTAACGAAGGGACACAGAGGAAGGGAGACATATGGATGAAAAAGAGAGAGAAAAAGAGGCACACACACCTCAGCAAGTGGTGGGAGGGACGGCTCTCGAAGATTTCGGGTCGGGCTCAGATTCAGTTCAGACTCAATTTGGGGGTGGATGAAAAAAAAAACAAAAAACGACAAGAACGTGGAGGAGGTGGTCGGGGTCGGGGCCAGATGGCAGTGGCAGAGGGCCAGAGGGCCAGAGGGCCAGAGCAAGAGGGAAACGGCCGAGTGCAATGACCACAGACCCACTTTCCCGTGTGATTGGTGATTGGCAGCCCGCAACGGCTTCGGGGAACGCACCGGGGGTTTGAAAGCACGGTGTGGATCTACACAAAAAAGACCGGCCCTTGGCCCCATAAATTCCCGAATGCGGGTAATGCCTGGCTCTTGGCACTTAGGAATACACAAAAGATACCCAAAGTCATTAGATTATTTGCACTTCATTCAAAGTATCTCCTATGTCTCTTACCACCTCTTGGCTGCAGGGACGAGACTTTTGACGGCAGGCACGCGGTAGGCGAAGGAGGAGAAGACAAGGTGCTATGTAAGGTAGCGAGGCAGCTTTCGCAGCCGGATCCACCAGCGACTGAGGTAGGTACGGATACTGAAGTATACGCAGTATTCGTACCTGGACAAGTTGACACACATTCATCACTGGGCTGCTTGCATGAGGGCTGAGGATGCATGGATGGCATGAGTAGCTATCCGTACCTTGCGCTTGGTGAGGTGGGAATACCATTCTTCTCCGGTCTCAATGTCAATGTATTCGTAAGTTGTCGACCATAGACGACACGACACCACCTTCTGACTTTTACCTTTCTCTTTGCCGAACGGCACGCGCCTTACTGCCGTGCATGCTTATCCTGTCTTGTATGCGGCCTCGTCATTGGATGGGTACTTCTAACGGGCGCCACAGAGACGCTCTCACTTTTCACTATGCAACTTGGAAGTTCGGGATGAATGCGCAGTATCCGCACTCGTTGAGAACTATGAAGCGATGCCTCGATTAGGGCATTGCCGGGACGGGAGGTTACAGTAGCTTTCCATCTCCGACAACTTGCAGAATGGGTGACCGATGACCCTCGATTGCGCGCATTCAGATCGCAACGTTGAATATCTCGACAGAACCTCTCCTCATACACAAAAGAACCCTGAGGCTGCTGAGATGAAATGCCAAGACCAGTCGGAACGCAGTGGCCACTGCCCAGGACCAGGCGCAAATCTCTCAACCCAGAAAACAGCGGAGGCTGGTCCAAGCGGGTGATGCGGCAGCGGGACTCCAGGCAAGCCGAGGACAGGACGAGTCGACTTTCTCGAGTCGAATCTTTTGTCAGTGGACTCGGCCGGGATACCTGACGACATGGGCAAGGCATTTCGAGTCTGAACATGGTCTGAAAAGACGACCGCTTCCCACAATTCTAGACAGTGGGACTGAGGTGGGAAACCTACCTTACCTGGCCGGTCTGGAGTCCCTTGGCCTTGCACCTTGCACCTTGGACTTGCTATCCTACCTTCCTTTACCCGGGAACTAGGTAATAGGTATTCGTCGTCTAGGAAGACCGTCCGGCTCCGATTTTGTCTTCGTTCTAGACAACCCTGAGCATGAGCAACCTTACCCTACCTTACAGCATGGTGCCCAACCCGACAATCTAAGGAAGATCCTCACGTCAGGTCATTACCGGAACGAAAAAAGCAAAGAGCCCATGACTTTTCCCTGCCGGTGCAGCTTGTGCTTGCGCAGTGGTAGTCGTAGTGGTAGCCCAGCTGAACAACCGACGGGGCATCCGCATTGTCTCTCTCGCCTTTCACGTCCCCCATGACATCGAGTCTCCATGTTCATGCCCACCTGCTGGTCTCGGCAACCAGGTTT